CTCAGTAGGACTTAAGGGTCTACTGCCCAGTCGACGACTGTGGATAGTGTCGACAATAGCAAGGCAGTCAGATCACTACTGTGGAATTGGTCTTATGAGTCTACACCAGGCTCAGGGCCATTAGTGACGAACGCTTGGACCGCGACCATTCCCCCAAAAAGGGATCTGTCGTTGCGTCGACTTCTCGAAAAGGGTCATTCTCTGCAGATGGGAACTTGGGCTGAAGGGCTGAGCAATGCGCGACGTTCTCAATAATAGAACTACTACTGGACAGGACTTGGCGTTACGAGACTTAAACCATCTTGTCGCGGCAACTCCCGGTTCTGAGTTGGACGTTTCCTCAGATCATGCCACGACGACGACTTGTCACATGTCAGGATCCATTCGATCACGGGACATTGAGGACGCGTCGCGGTGACACTCCCAAGTGCCACGGCGATTCGCGTCAACACCCAAACACACTAGAAATCGACACGGCTAGATCCGTGAGCCGAACCATGTGGGGGACGACTGGCGTGCCTAGGGCCATACGGCTTCTTGGGGCGCCCACGTTGGTCTCACATGCCAAGACATACCCGTTGGCCAATCCAGCACGTTGTATTCCAAAAGTATGACGCGGTGGGTTGACCCACATCAAAAGTATCATATGGACTATGGGGCGGGGTCCTGATCACTCAGGTCCTGTCCGATCGTTCAACTTTTCAATTACCCTAAAAGGCAACCGATCTTAGATAGCGTAGCTACTATGCAGTTGTACAGGACTTTACTAAGCAGCGTCGTAGACAGTATAAGTAGCACGTCGTCTCTTTGTATTAAAAAGCTTTCCCCCGGACTGTGAATCACTATCATTTCAGATTGTTTTGTACAATTTGCGTGCCGCGTGATTCCACCCTAAGAAGTTCTGCCATCCCTGCCCGGTCGCGACGAGTTGCTCCCTGAGCACTTGTAGCTACTGTGATTTGAGTTTGAGTTGAGATATCAGAAAGTCGGATTCGCCGCATCTGGTATTGTCGCGACATTTAGTGTCGTCGCCTTAGGGCTTTGTTGAGATCGTTCCACACCTCTAGCTTGGCAGTGCGTCGACTAGTTGTGCTCGGGTTGTTTTGGTCAGTTGGCAGTGCGTCGACTTGAGAACTTTGGTTCCACACTTCTTGCTTGGCAGTGCGTCGACAAGTTGTGCTCGGGTTTTGGACATTGGATATTGGCTGTTAGTTGGCAGTGCGTCGACGCGGCATTTTGGTTTACTAGTTGGCAGTGCGTCGACTCAGTATATTGGTTGTATCAGTTGGCAGTGCGTCGACTTGATATTTGGGCTTTGCGTCACCATCTGGACGCTGTCGCTACAAGGGATCTTAATACTTCGTATTAAGTTCTGACTTGTTATATTGTTGGTTGTGGATTGGATTAGTGTTGGTTGTGTTTGTATAGAAGATATTGGTTGAGACACCACTGTTTGCTATATATATATATCCTTGTCGTCGACTTCGTCTTCCGCGACTATTGGATCTGCGTCTATTGAGAGCTGTGATACTGGTGTTCTGTCCACCCCGAAGCCCTCGCATCTTTCACACACTGAGAAGCTGATTACGAGGAGTGTGAACGTGTTTATATTTGGGTTTACTTTCATAGTAGATTCACTTGTGAGCACGCCCTCAGCATTTCACCGGGTTTGACGAGCAAGGGCTGTGAGGACTGTAAATGGAAAAGAGGGAACAGGGAGAGCGCTCAAGGATTCGAGATACTGAGAGGCAAGTTTGTATGTTCTATTTATGAGAGCGAAAAAATAATGACGCAATGAATAACAATCACCTCATTTTGCCTCCACGGCCAGCAGTTCTACTCATGTCTGATGGTAAATGAGCTTATGGGCTTCACTTATCTCCTCTGTTTGCCTCCGCGGTCAGCAGTTCTACTCATGTCTATTGGTAAATGAACTTCACCACTACCAATTAACCTTATTCAACAGTAAACCGCCTCATTCCAGGTCAATGAGGTCGATTTGTAAGAATTTTCATGGTCTAGGCATATCAACATCACAATGTGGTGATGAAACGGGCAGCATGTAACTTGCATTTTTTGAGAGTGAGGCACGTGTCTACAGGAACGTGGACCCTCATGCCACATTTTTTCTTGCCGACTTATCAGCTCATAAAAATATTTGTGAAGGAGAGACCATGCATCTCATGTCGGTATCTGAAGGCGTCCAAGGTTCGCTGTTAATAGACCATGAGCTTTGCATGTTTTAAATTTAGATCTTTCAACTGTACTTATAAACCTTCCCTGTGCGTCCATTCTGGATCGTGCCCCACCTATTCCAAATGTCTCAAGCATCCACTCCTCTCAAAGTTGACTTCACCAACGATCGGGTTGCTCTTCAAGACACAAGGTACAAGAATCGGGAAATTTGTAAGGGTAACAGAACCATTTGTCGAGGCCAACGGGGATACAATGCTGAGAGCAAGAGCAACTCTGGTCACTTTCGGATTGTCTGCTCCTCTTGTTATTCCCACTACAAGGGCATAGAGGCCAGTGCATACATTGTCTTCAATTATCAGATTTTCTTTGATATTTGCTCATTGACGCATTAAAACAGCGGCATCTGCAGCAAGATCCGGCGCAAGCATCAATTCCCATGAAATCCGTCAGATGAATGCAGCTGGTCGTATTGGAGGTAAGAATATACTTCTATTCTAATCCATTACACTGCTGACGTCCACTGTTTAGATCCAAACCAAGCGCAAAAGCATGTTTCTGCTATGCCTTGGGGATCTATGTCCCCGCCAGCTGCTATTATGGGTAAGCACTATTATAAGGGTATATTGTTGTATTGGCATTCACGGAGTCTCAGCACATCCTCGTGTCTCAGTTCCTAGTGCATGGGACTTGGCCGCTCCTTCATCTGGAAGTTTGTCTGGTGCAAGCAACAACTGGTCAGACAAGGGATATTCCCAAAATCATTCCAGATATCAGGAGGTGAAGGGCTTCTGGTCCAAGTCCGCATATGTCTCTCGGACAGACGAGATACTTAATCTCATTGTTGGTATTCACTACAAGGCTGAGAAAAAACCAAAGGGAGAACCGTATGGGGTATGTTCATTGAATTTCAGATGAATTCTCTTGCTGATATGATTAATAGACAATCAGCGAGGGAACAACTATCCCGGGAGCTGCATCTGCTGAAACCATCTTCAACCGTGTCTTCGAGTTGATGTTTGATCGGTTGTGCAGAGCCACAGACTACAGTTTCTCACCAAACAACGTCACTGTGCAAGATGTTCGTAGTTGGCAGGATATCCGAGCTGTTCCTGATCGTGCAGTTCCAATCTATTATGGGTTATACTACAAAGTGGCGAAGAACCAGTCAAAACCTTTGTGGAATTCCCCTAAAGCCCCAGTTCCTGTCGCTCTTGTGGTCTCAGAACCGGCTTGGAAACAATACCGAGAGCAGATGCATAGCTTGGAGCCTTCGGTCTGTCCTCTACTCAAATGCATGCCGCTCTCACATTTTTCTCACTACCCATTCCAGGTCATTGGTGATCGAGTCAAATCTGATGAAGACGAGCCTGTGGATTCTGAAGTGCTGGTGCGTGTAATCCATTCATTTAATATTAAATTCCTTTTTATATGTATACTTAGATGAAGGATGGCGGAGATGAGGACAACTCTCTTCCTTCTCTCCCCCGAGTCCAATCTCGTGCTCATGCTAAGACGGCCACCAAGACAGCCACCAAGACGGTTACTAGTACTGCAACTGAGTCTGCTGCAACCGGCTCAAAGACGCGGACTCGTGTATGTTATCTAGTCCAGTCGCCTCTCGTTATACTGAAATGTGTTGAAATTAAATAGAATTCCTGGGATGCAGCTCAGCTGTCCCAGAATGCTCCAGATCATTAGATAATTGTATTTAGTCATATACCGGTCAATAGTAGAATATTCTAGATTACTTACATTACTAGTATATAACTAGGCCGGTATGTAGTCTAAAGGGCATCAGTTTGCCCTAAAGCAATCCAAGTTTATTCCTCATTGCTATTGCAAACCTACACTACAATTATCTAATTGACCCCTCGACCCATTTTCCCCAACAAAATGTTTCAACCTAGTCCCAAACTTCAGCTTCGGAGAGATCTCGTGCTGTCTCTGGAAAGTCGTTTTTGATCACAGTCTCCAAGTCCCAAAGATCGCAATCTGTGGCCACAAGTGATGCATCTAGATCTCCATCAAAAGTCAGGGCTCTGGGCTCTGTTGATTGGGGTAATTCCTCTCTGCACCGTCTGAGTGAACGTCCCCGCACACCAGAGACTTACCATGCGGGAATGAAACAGCCGTATCGCTCTCCTGATCAAGCTGACCAAGCAAGGCTTCGGAAAGCCTTGAGCGTCGGAGGAGAAGCGTTAAGGGCAGGGCCTTTGGGTGAGCGCACATTTGAATCTTGTTCAATCGCACTTACCAATAAAATCGTTTCCCTAGATCTACCTACCTCTGATCACATCCAATTTTTGCGTGTCGTTCCATGCCCAATGAGCGAGCTGTTTGACGTCTCCCGTCCAGTCAGATTTGAATTTGACCCAGCAATGTGCAAGGATGGCACCTTGATGGTTGCATTATCCGCTTCCCTTGGCACTGGATCTTTCAAAGATGCACATCGGGGCTTCCTGATCCTCACCCCCCTTGCTCCGAATGGACTCGGTAGTTGCACCAACCAACGTGTTGCTGTCAAGCGCATGACTCAAGGCAGAGATGAATGGGGCAGCGCGAGGCGATTCGATGTCTCAGCCAAGTATTGGCACACCATCGGGGAATGCAATCTACTCCTTTGGGCTATCTCTCTCTTCGATCTTTCCCTCTCATTCATTGATCATAAACTAGCGAAGACAGGGCCTCCGCCACCAAGCCTTGTTATTCCAAACATTCGCTTTGTGGAGGGGGGCATTGCCTTGGTTCACGAGTCCACTGTCGGGAAGAATGTTCAAACCGCATCCTCGCACCGCTGAACTCTCATGATTGAGGAGCTTATTGAAAGCCCATTTGTCAAATTTGTTCACAACCGCGCTCCCATTCCGCATTTGGCTCCGACTCACCCCTTGTTTTATGTTGCTGAGTTCTTGTGTTTCACACAACATGTGCAGTACGAGAAATCGGGTGGATTGGTCTTCATTTCTGACTACCAGGGTGCGTGAATTCAACCCACCGTCTTTTTTTTAGAAATCACTTATTTGCTCTGAATATTTAGGGTCTGAGTCGCTGTTGAGCGACCCGCAGATCATGACAGCGCCGTAAGTCCTTCTTTTTGCAGTTTGTAATGCTATCTGCTCATTTGTTGAACATCAGTGATATATCAAAGGAGACCATGTTCGGTGGTGGCAATGTTGGTTCACTATTCACAGTGTTTCCTACCAAGCACAAATGCTCCGGATATTGCCGTTTCTTTGGATTGAAGCCACTCGTTTAAATGTTGATGGATCCTGGCTCTCAATCGCGCATTTTCATCCATTTACATGTAGTTTCATTTGTAGTGACGAGCCCCGCAATCAATTGATCTGATGTCCCATCAGTATGACCTAGCAAGCTGCTTGGTCTGACAAAGCAGCCACAATTGATCTGATATCCCATTGCTGATCCCGGATCACAAGATTCTACATACATACTGTTTTTTGTTGTGTCCTTACTGAACCCCGTCATCTACAGTTATGTTGTAATCTCATACTCGTTGAATTTGTGCCTCAACAAGTCATTTTATGAATGCAATAAGATAGTATTAGGATGTTGAAAACATGCGTAAAGAAGAGTACATAGTGAGTTCATGGGGTCCTGGCCACGTGCATTGCCTATCAATGTCAAATGTCTCGGTTGTGAGCAGGGCCTTCCAGGCCTCCATACGGTCTGATGAATCGGGTGATGTATGGAGGCCCGGAACTATATGCTGATAAGCGAGCATCCCGATCTCAAAGGTTTGTGTTCCGTGTGATTGATAGTTGATCTTATCATATTCAGATTTCTCAGACCCCAAACACCGCCTGCTCATGCATTCAAGGATCATGTATGCTACAGTACAAGCTCAAGCAACTTTGGAGCAAGGGCATCTGTAGTTAAGTATATACATGCTGTAACATGTAACCATTCCCCTGAAACGCTTCACACATGTTTCTACCCACAAAAAACGCGATATGACCATCGGGGACAGACACAATTCGACGCAGGGCTGATGTGATCAACAATCAAATCCCTCATGCTCTCTTCCCTTTTGCTGTCGTTCTACTCGACCCTAGACTGTGAGCTTGGGATTAGCCATCCTCTGACACTTCAAGACATTAGCGTTCTAGTTCTGGATGTGCTTGGGCCGTGCTATAGCTCAAATTTCCACTTTGGCTGCTCTATTTCTCTCCACCTCAACAACTTCCCTTGGTGTTGACATCGAGCCCACGTCGCACCCGGATGACGGTCAGAGACAGGGAGAAAACTCCCGAATCAATATACAAACAAATGTACAAACATTGATAGACCCTATCTTAACACTTGGCCCTATTTCCCCAACTGGCAGTCGCTTTGTGCTGCGCTCATCATCCCTGCTGACGTACTGACTGTTTTACATTTAATTCAATACTGGTCTTATCTCTAGACTCATTTTGTAAAAGCTCTATGTTCTGTACTCAAAATCAGCATTCTTTTTTCATTTTGGCATCTCTGAGCTCACTGCTTCCTCGATCTTGCTCCGGCTAGGGTATTCAACCCTTTACATTGTCTCACATTGTCTCGAAAAAGTAATTCTTTGAATTATAGAAATTGACGCACTTCGAGTCCAAATACCCCAGTAACTCTATTATCGGTCAAACAATATCCGATAAAATTGAATTACTGAGTGACATTCAGAACCTTTGGATCTCTAGGAACGCAAAGACACTATAGACACCTGTACTGCTAGCCCGATTTTTTTCCTCTTGAAAAACACTTCCTTTTAATGAGAGGAGTGATCTCTCAAGAGGGATTGCCCATAGCTGTCCAACTGAGTGAGTAATGGGATTTTGACATCCCCCAATTTGGCGTAGCCTACAAAAACAAATGTATCATATATTGAAAGCCCTTGCGGCGCATTCTGAGATCCACTGGTGCAATTTGTATTTGGTCGAGTTGAATTTTTGCACCTCAAACTGCGAGTCCCCGTGTCTCCAATCCACACTGCTATGTGTCCATCCACTGTATCATATGGTGCTCCCGGTGTCTGATCATCTGCCAAGCCGGAAATAAGTGCCTTTGAAATATTCTCCTTCAGAGTGTCGTGCTCAGAGACCCAGATGTAATAGTCAAAATTTTGGTTTTGCCTGACCCGATTTGCGCGCTAGTGCACTTTTGATGGTGACTAAGCTGCGCGCACCATAGTGGATTCAAGTAAAAGGCAATATATCCCTTATAGCAGGAGGCACTCTGCTTTTATACTGTCTAGCTACTGTTTTGGTTTCATTGAGAAATGGATTTCCGATGCGTTTCAGTACTACGAAATGTGCAAGATTTTTAGCATCACAAATGATGCACTATTGATGAGTCATTGGGATCCATCCCGATAGCGGCTGCTTCACAGCGTGTTAATTAATCCAAAATTTACTTATTTCAAATGGTGTCAGGCCCTTTTGTACGCCGTGGAAGAGAAATGGCACTTCACAGATTTCGTGTATGCCTAGCGAGGCTTATGGGGTCTCAGAAGCAGTCAATCAGATCAGCATCAACGGCCGAAACAATATCAATGATACGGAGGCCCGCCTATCAGCATATAGTTCCGGGCCTCCATAGTGATGCAATCAGCCTTCTCCGGCTACCCCCAATCAGGAAACAATCCGTAGGCAGGCCATGCATGCTATTACTTTTTCCGCTTGAGGATCTGCCTCCCAATTTTCCTCGTCCCACCTGTGTTCCAGGCCTCAGTCTGTGAGATCCAATCCTCCAGAATCGCAGCACTGACCAATCCCGGCTCTTACTCCTCGGAAATGTGCTGGATGCTGGCGCATGATGGTCACTTGCGCGCCTGCCTTTATGGAATCAATCTCGCCATCTGCTCATTACCATATCAAATATCGTTTTGAAGTTTCGCCGAAGATGAGCATGGATTGAAACCGACCGCGAATATTTCAAAGCTCCCTCAAGTGGGCAGGCCCAACCCCGTGGTCAGAAGGCGAACCCGTGACTTGTCAAGTATTCGGGGGATGTACAGACAGTCCCCTTCAGATGGAGTCTATCAAGGGAGTGAATAGGGAGCAGTTGGAGGGCGATTTCCTCACTGGGTGCAGGAACCGCACAACCTTCGCATCGACAATGACGTAATCAAGCTGACCGCATGTCAACACGTCAAATGACTCCCACTTTCCTGCCACGCTCTGCCGCTTCCTCCTTCCTCTCCGCAAAAGCGTCTCTCATGGCTCCGAGTTCTGCATCAACTCCCAAGCAATCCAACCATGCAAGCAATGTGGTCCGACCCATCAAGACTGCGCCAGACGACAGAGTAAAACCCGATCGCCGACGTGCGCAGGAGAGACCCCAATCTATCCGCCCCACGCATTGTGCGAATCACAGGAAAGTCCAATCCATATTTTACTGACGCATTCACTCCATCCAGTTCTTTCTCTCCCCATTGTACGTCCAAATCCACGAACTCCTAGTGCTCGGAGTGAGGAAACAATCCAACGCAGGGTCACCACGCGGATCTGCGCACCCGCGTCTCCCATCTGCACGCGCGAATCAAGGCGCACGCGCCGCCCATCGTCGGCATCGATCCCTCGATCCTCGTCGACCCCCGTCGACTGCACTTCACGCTGGGCGTCATGACGCTCGTCGACGCGGACCGGGCGGCGCCCTCGGGAGCTGATGAACCGACTGCGCCTACGAAGACGGTTGCGGAGGCGCTCGCGCTGCTGCGGTCATTAAAGACGCAGGTGGCCGAGATCAGCGCGGGAGGGTTGTTGGCGCTGCCCTTGGACCACATGGGCGTGTTGAAGACGCACCACGAGGAGGCGGGGGTGCTGTACGTGGCTCCCAAAGACGAGGAGGAGGAAGAAACGAAGAAGATCAGGAGGATTGTCGGTTCGTCTGGGTATCTGTGTGGCTTTTTATTGTGTGATCACAAAGCGCGCAGACCTTGTCGCACGACGGTTCCAGGAGGAGGGCTTCATTCATGAGACCCGGCCCGTGCTCGTGAGTTCCGTCCTTCCGTTGCGTCAATAACTCATATATATGAATGCATCTTGCAACTTGCAGCTTCATTGCACTCTCATCAATGCAAGCCACCGCCGGCCCCGACGCTCCCCCAAGTGGTTCTCCTACCAGGAAGTCTTCGCGCTTGCATCCCCGGAAGGGCGCACTGCGAATATCAATGCGGAAGCGCGGTCAGCGGACGTCGACTTGGGCGCATGGACCGCGTCGGAGATCCAGCTGTGTCGGATGGGGAGCCACGGACCGGAGAATGAATACTTCAGCTGCGGTTCTATATTATTATCGTAACAAGGGTACTTCTACCCAACTTCGGTGATAACATGCATGGTCGCGGTACAGACTGATCGCTGCACCAGAGCGAACGTCGACCGCAGATTGTCTGGGTCTGCCGCTTCCGTCATACTGCAAAGTGAGTAAATATCAAACATCCACTTGGTTCTTTACAGGGTCAGGGTTACGGCAACGCACTGGGAAGTAAGAGGCAGGCCTGCGTGGTTCTCCTTCTCGAACAGACTCTGGATGAAGCTGGCGGCTTCAGCCGCCCCGGGACCGCCCGCGTAGTCTGGGAAGTATTGCTTTACTGGGGACTGTTCGAGCATCAGACACTGCAGGTGGCACAGGCACGTCAACTCGCCTTGGCGAGCTTCCGCTCAAATTCATGTAGATTGTTCAGGAAAAGAATAATATTCGATCGGCGAAGCCAGAGGGAGTTGACGTGTTCAGAGAACATCATCAGCGACTGATGCAGACGCGTCCTGCCGCCGCCCGCATCGTGGAGTGGTGCATCGTACCCGACCAGCGAGGCGCAGAAAATGACCGATTTCACGCTCTGAGAATCGACGCTGGGCGATGGGTTGGTTGCAGACCATACGTGCACCAAAGCAAGAGATCGTCACACACTTGTCGAAATGATGCAACCATTTTCGAGGACTCGAGCACAGCCCACTCACGTCGACCATGATGATGCGTCTGTCTCAAATGGGGTCAGTGCCGTCGGCCCACGGCGCGGATGGGCTGCAGGACGGACCTGGAAGAATCTATGTGGACCACGGTCTCCACGATCGCGGAGCTTCGCCCATCCGCAAGGAGAATATCCGCATCGTAGGGGAGGTAATCTGGGTCGACGATTCGGTTCAGGGCCGGCAAGAGCCTGGAAGGAGATGAGTTGCGGTCAGGAAGACATGTCAGTCGCGAGACGTACTCCCTTGTAGAGCTGGGCATCGAGAGCTCCTTGGGCTCTGCGTGCAGAGCAGCAGCTACGGCCGGATGGTTGATCAGGCCGAGAGCAGCGTACTGGACCGCTCGAGTCCACACCTTCGCACCATTTTCGTCTTGCGCAATCGGTGCCCCTAAATGAAGCTTATCTTCCTTCTCGTCTTCGGATCTGGATCCAGACGCATTGGGAAACGCGCCGACAAGCGCGCGCACCCACGCCATCTCGTCGCTCCCCTCCCCGAAGACATCCGGTGTCTCGGCCATGATCCGTCCCACCAATCCCGCCAGTGCGCCGATGCACACCCACGCATTCCGACGCAGCACGTCCCGCCACGCGCGCCGGTCCGCGGGGCTGTACCCACCCCCGGCTAGGATTTTCATCTGCTGCACAAGCGTCGGCAGGCCCGAGTCCGGCTCGCCGAGCACGAGGACGGGGATCTGCTCCCGGCGCGCGCGCGCGTCGTCCAGAATCTGCGCGTCAATTTCGGCTGAGCGGGCCGCTGCAGCCACCGCCGCTGCGGTGGGTCGTGGCGGCCAGCAGTGCATAGGAGTGGGTTACGTGGCGTGACGTGGCGGTTGTGGCGTATGGATCATCGTGAGAAATGTGGGGTCACAGGGACTCGGCAGTCGGTAGCAAGAATGCGCACTGCCCTGTCGCTAAACATCTTATAGAGATGTGATCTTCGCTAGTATTTTGGGGACCGCCCGTGAAAGTGGACCGAAGCTCAGGCTCGGGAATGAGTGCGGCTGTGGTATTCGGTGGATGCTGCCACCGGACAATCGGTTCTGAACCTGAGCAGCGAATTCTCAGGTAAAATTCCACATGTTAGTGTCTATGAATCCCGCGAAAGAGTAAATGTCCAGATCAAATTTCGCAGAACAGGTATTCGCATCGGGAGAGGCAAGATGGGATGATCACAGAAGCATGGGGCACAGCCTGGCAGTGCACTGCACGGACTGAACGCCGTTCCGAGTCCCGGATCAAGCTGGCTGTCGCGGAGGTAAGTGTGATATCGGACGGGTCTTCAATTGCTTAAACCAGCGAGAGAACACCGGAACGTAGATAGCAGGTAAGTTGATCGGCGAGGTGAAATCTACAGACATGTTTTCCGATTCCACAAAGGAATTCTTGAAAGAAACGATGGAGGATGCGACGTGCAGGCACACACGTCAGGTGCGGCACTGGGAGGAGGAACAATGAATCTTCGGGTTGATTGGAGGTATTCACCCGCTCCCGCATCCCTGAAAGTTGAGTGAACAGGGTCCGTAGAACTGCGTTCAGAATGCGGCAGAGCAGATCACATGACAAACACGAGGCACCCTGGGATATCACCTGATCGTGACTCGGATCCCAATCCCTGTCCATCATCACTTCGCTTGTCCCTTTCCGCTCTTCACTTGTCTTGTGCTCTCTTGCTCTTTCCTCTTTTCTGCTCCGCTGGGTGGCTCTGCTCATTCAAACCACCCATCGATGGCCATCGCTTTCTTCTCCCCCACCCAGAATGCGGCCGCTGCCGGAGCGAAGGCGACGAAGACAAAGACGAGCATCAAAGTGTTTGTCGACTCCTCGCGCACGCGTCTCGCCGACGCTGCAGCCCTCTCTTTGTTCCAAGATGAGGCCGCACGTCGCAGGGGCAACAGCAGGACCAAGCGCCAGTGTTGCTCTCCTGAGGCGCCTAGACCCGCCCCTCTTCAGACACCCAACCCGAACCTTGCTTCAAACGACACGACCACGCCCGCAAAACGACACTCTCTTTTACCTTTCCGACGCTCTTCCCCTCCACCCTCTTCTGGCCGCAAGTCCCCGCCGACGTGCACCGTGTCCTTCGCCAGTGCCGGCGTCACGCGCCCGCCTCCCGTTGCGTGCATCACGTTCGCACCCCACGCAACAACCGAAAACTACATCGGCAAATCCGCTCCAGTCCCCATCCCCAGCCCGATGACGGAAAAGGGGCCCAGGGCCGTGCCCTTCCCCACGGACGAGCAGATCTCGCCCCTCGCCCTGGACGCGCCGCACGTCCTCCAGGTCCCGTGTCGACCGCGGGCCCGGACCGTGCATGTGCAGACTCCGCCGCGCCCAGCCACAGCCGCAGCCACAGCAGCCCCACCGCCGACGCGCCACCGCAGGACCAAGTCGCGGCGGGACTTCCCCGTCGCGCCGACGCCCGTCGCCGGGAAACCTGTGCCGCCGCCGACACAGGCGGAACTGCGCTTCTTGGCGCTCGTCGAGCGGAGCCTCCGTGCGTACGGGGCGGGGGTGGAGCACGGGTGGACGCTCGCCGAACTGGATATCGCAGACAAGGAGAACGCGCGCATGCATGAGGACGTCATGATGACGCCCGCGGCGACGTCAGTGGAGCTCGCAACGCAGGACGCCCGGCTGGCCGACCGTCTCCGCGCGAAGCTCGTTGCGCACGGCTGGCGACGGGGTCAGCACGCGGGCTCAGGCTCGGTCTCATCGCCCCCGCGCCCGCGAGGCATCCTCCTGCCCTCCAGTCCGCCCTCAGTGGCTGTGCTATCCGGAGCGCGTGACCTGCGGGCGAACACGCCCGCGCCAAAGCCGAAGCTGCGCTTCGTGGAGGCTGCGGCGGATGTCGGATTGCCGGCGCGGCCGAGATCGAGATCCCGGTCCTCAGGCAGCACACCTGACACGCTTCCGGTGGACGCGCTGGTCGCTCGGCTCTTGTTGAAACACGGGAACCCGGACGCGTTGAAGATCCGGCGGGCGTGTGTGCCTTCTAGCCGGGCTGGGCGACAGCTTGCGCCGCCGTCCCCGTTGAGGCAGGTAGCGCATGCGGTGTAGATTCGAGGTCGATGGCTTTACTGCCTCTCTCATCTGCACTGCATCCTCTCCTTGCCTTTCTTGATCGCCATTTTCTTCTTCACCCGAGGCTTGCCTTCTGTTTCCAATCACGAGCATCTCGACGAGCCCCTCGGACCCTTGACGGTTGCATGACATGAATGACCTGACCTACACACGTTCATCACGCACTTGCATTACATTACATTGTATGTATATGACCTGCACGACCCCCATCTCCGATGTCTTTAGCTTTCGCATCAGCATGTAGTCTGTACACCTTGCTTTCTTCTCGTCGCATTGCTATCGTCGTCGTCCCGAACTCGGTGTGTGACCTTGGAGTTTCGTGATAGTGCTCTGCCTCCGTCCACGCATGAGGCACGGGTATCGCATGGGCAGTCCGCTGGCTGATCGGACGCAACTCTATCAGTGATCTAAGATCCATGCGTGATGTCGTTTCACTCCTCTAGTCACACCAAGGGATTGCGAATATCACGGCCCATAAAGAATCAATTATATTCTATATATTGGGACACAAAAAATGAAGGGATCTGATATGTGACATATCGGGCACCCGGATCATACCCGGCACCCGATATCTGTGGTATCAGGTCGTTTTTGCGCTGATATGTGACATATCAGGTCAGCCTCTTTTTGGGGTCACGATATATGGAATATAATTTATTCTTTATGGGCCGTGTTATGTGTGGTCTCCCGGTGTGAGTCTGGGTCAGGAAGAAACGCTTTATTCCTTGAGCCTCTTCGGCTGGGAGCGCACCATCACACCGCTGTATGTGCTCGTTGTGCGGCCTCGTGTTCGAGTAATGTATGTCTTTTGCTTGACTGCCGCGCCTGGTTCATAACAATGTGATGACAGGCTGTGTGTCCCATGTGCTTCGGTTTCATTTCTCATTTCCATTTCCGGTGTACTTGGACGATTCGGACACTGTCCACGGATCTCGCATTAGTACACCAACAAAGTGATGCTCGATCCTGATGTGTTACCGCATTTCAATCGTTTTCTGCACTGATATCGAGCGGGAGACATCTCGATTTGGATGGTACGTTAAAGAGCCTAGAGGTACCCAAAGCACTATCACAAACACATAACGATCATCCCACATTCCCGTGCAAACGATATCGTAATAGAATTTCAGGCCCCGTAGATGAGACTTCTCGCACTTCCATCTCTTGCGCGTACCGAGCACTCAAATGGAGTGGGGTGGCTGCCAATCCGAGGGATCAAGTCAGACTACGGGGCAGGAGCGACAGAAACAAAACACTGGGCTCACATGACCGTCTGAGTGGTGAATCCGAGCGCGATGTCGATTTCCTTCCCTTCGCTGTCGTGCGCTTTTCCGATGTCAAAGACAGACAAAACCGCGCTGCAGAAGAGAAACAGGGATGATTCGGCCAATAGGCGGCCTGTTTCGGCCAGTTAGCTCCGGCAACCAAATAAGATCGGGTGGTGAGAAGTACCAGGGCAGATGCTGTTCCCAGCGAATAAATGGAGTGAGCAGGGATCCGATATCTAGACGGTCCACGCACCGTCGTCCAAATCCGAAAGACGTTTTGGCCGGATTTTCCTCAGCTGGTTTGTCCTTCGTGGCGATAAACCGGGTCGGGTCGAACTTGTCCGGGTTGACATATCGGTCCGGATCCCGGTTCATGTTCCTGACAAGGGTATGTTTCAGCGTCCCAAGCTGGACAGGAAGACAAGAGCAAGTTGCCAGATGTTCGGGACGAGCATGGCGTCCTTGGGGATCAGCATCGGGCCGGTCGCCGACTCGTACACGAAATCCTGCTTCGCCCGGTGGGGCAATCCTGGCGCCTGTTTCAGACCAGTTGCGAATAACGAGGGAACGGACCAACCCGCCGGCGCTGAGACGAACCACCGCAGGACCTCCTTGCACACTGCATCGACGTATGGCAGACTGGACTGGTCCTCGAGCGTGGGCAGCCTGCTGCGTCCCACGACGGCGTCGAGCTCTGCTTGGGCCGCACGCTGGATGTCCGGGTTCAGTGCCATCGCGAGGAAGAATCCGGAGAGCTGCGATGCCGTCTACGAGCAGGGATCATGTTAGTTTGATGCAGTTGGAGATGGCTGAACACGGACGGTGTCACTGGCTCCTGTCCCGAGAGCGAATGCTGCTACTGTGGTCAGAAACTCGTCTTCCTTCGTCTCTATCATGGACGACGCCAACGACCGCTCGTTGCTCTCATGCGCCTATAGAGATTCTTTCGGCTGAGATTGTAGTCGCAAGCAGGATGGGCCCACCATGCGCTGTTTCACAAGAGTTATCCCCATGTCTCTGGTGTATTCTAGGTGCTTGCGGATTTGCGCGCCGACCCGGTGGAAGTCGCCGCCGGGGAGCCACGACGGCCAGTGGCGCACTAGAGCACAATCAGCGTCGTGATATCAGTCTCCGCGTCACGGAGGCACTGACAGATCGGAAACAAATCGACGAAAGACGCGCCCGGCTTCGTCATCTCGAAGAAGTTGTCTGACCCGATCTCCACTTCGCGCACGAACGCGTCGGGCGCCGTGCCAGTGTCCGCCTTATGTCCATAAGCGATCCGAAGACTGAACCTCATCGTGGCACTAAGCGACTTCACTTCAACAGCATGTCGCTTGAGTGCGTCGGAAGAAAGAAACAGCGCACCGCGATATGTGGTGCATGACATCCCCCTCGGTCCCCTCCACCGCGCGCAGGAAGTCGCGGACCTCATCGACGACGCGCGGCACGAGCGCGTCCACCGCCCCCGGCGTGCCGAGGAACCCGTGGAAGCACTTGCGCTCCGCTTTGACGCGGTTGTTGACGGCGCCCGGTGCGCACGGGCCATCCGCGGTGTACTGCGACAGTGGCAGCTGGGTGTCATACCCGCACAGCGCGCCGGCCAAGGGCAGCACCGGGCGCTCGGAGGTCAGGGCGGACGAGTGGATTAGAATCGACGTGGCCGCGGACGCGGTGTGTACGAGGATGATGGTGCGGCCCGGCATCGTGAGCGAGGTCACGTCGCCTGTGTGGTTGTGGTCATGGTGGGCGCTGGGTACAATAAGGGGAAGTGAAGCGGGAGAGGCGTACCGTATTTCGCGCGCATTTCGGTAAACGCGAGCCATGGCTCCTTCGCGGGTATGTCCAGCAGGTTCCCGATGAGTGGGAGGCGAGGCGGGCCTGGTGGGAGGGGTGCACGTCGTCCCCGCTGCCTGCGCGAGAAGAGCAGGAGGGCGCAGGGAAGGACGACAAAGACGAGGAGCTGGATGGGAAAGGACATGGAGGTCGGGGACACGGGGCACAGACAGAGAAGGAAATAATTGTACGTATGTATGTACGTGCGAGAAGCCAGGAGAGGCGTTATTCGCTTCCAGATGACTTTCTGTCACTTAGGCAGCTGGAATTGACCAACCGGATCTGGACGATCCGGTGCGTTGCATTTGTTCTCCTCGATCGCTAGTGGGTCGGGCGAAGTTTCACCAACATGCTGAGCCCTCGGATGAGCGCGCCAGACTACGATTCACTAGAGTGGTGACCGTAGAGCATGCCGGAGTTGTAAGGCGTAGAGGACGTCATCTATCGTCCTCCATCTTGTGATAGTTTGTGAGGCTCCATGACATCGTTTCTTTCGCACACTTCAATCTTCCTTTTCGGGTTATAAGCCCTCCATGAATCCCAGAGCTCCCTCTGTCTTCTGAAGTGTTCGCCTCGAGAAAACAAAGGAAGGGCTGAAAGAAAAAAATATTGAAGCCAGTGAAAACTGAGAGAAGAAAATGGACTGCACAGCCTACCATCTACTGTACCGTGCCAATCAAATCGTCAGTCACGCGTCACAGGCTGCCTGACGAAGTCGAAATTTGTTTTGATGTCACGCATCACATGCTCAGGTGACGAATTCATTTTTCCGTTCAGAAATAAATAAGGCTTGTGGGGTTCAGCTGAAGTGTTAAAAATACTTGTGTACCCTTCCCTGTGTTGTTTTGAGTCTGTCTGGGGCTATCACACAGATAGCTTCAGATCAAGTTGCAAGCAACTCATAGGGAGGTGAATGCATGACCTGACGAAAAAATCAACATGTCACATGTCATGGGGGGACCTGACGAATTGACGAATTGATCTTTTGTGTCACGCATCACACCGCCTGACGATTTGATTGGCACGGTACTATTGATGCCATCAAGTTCGAAAATGCACACGAAGTTCGAAAATGTGGTCCTATTTCGTAGCATATCGTTCATTACTCTTAGTATCATCCGGAATTTCTACCTTACATACCATTAGTTAATCCTACAAACTTAGAGGGGAAAAATCCGTCAACAATTTGTTGACTGCGCGCATCTGGTACTCTCATTGAGCCCTCCCAAACCAAGTTGGTGGTCCCATTAAGGATCATCTGCGTGGATGCATCCAGTTAGGCGTTCGGAGATGCCTATAACCTTTACACAGTGTCTGCAACTTATTCCGGGGCAGTCCGGCCAGTGGGTCGAGAGATGCAACGTCCACTCGAGGAACTGACGCGTTCGGTCACATTCCGTCACACAGCATTTCAAACTTCCGCTGATTTACAGTGCCGTTTTTCTCACACGCCATGTCCATTGACCGCCTCGACTACCTCGAGCAAGTCAAAGAAGACTTTGCTACGCCCACACCCGAATCCAGCCCAGTCCTTGTGCACATAGCCAACTCCTCCGCAGAGAATCCATCCAAACGACTGCGTCAAGATCATGGTATTGACGAGTGGAGAATGAGACTGCGGCAGCTGGACAGCGAGAACGACATTCCCGATGCACTCACGGAGAACCCAGATGATTCGGACAACAAGACGAGTGAAGAAGAGACTGCCCGAATCTGTGAGTCGCATGCTTTGGCTTGAATCGTGCTCACTTTCTTTTAGGGCGCACCCTGGCCTCGAGCATCAATGTTCTCAGTCGAAACAACCTGAAGCTTCGGGACTTGCTCCGGCAGGAGATTTGGGGTCATACGGAGACACAGCAGAGTCGTAACCGGATGATCAATGACAGGGACGAGTGGATTGAGAAGTACGAGAACTTGCAGCGGGAGTTTGATGCGTACAAACGAAGCGTCGAGGCTTAGGTGGATGGAGCTCAATCAGACGACAGATCGAATGTTACTACGATATAATGTATGAAAACTGCCTATTGAACTATATGATGTGCGAAGTAAGAGATTACAGATTATAAAACTGGTAGTGCGTAGGATACAATGGAACTTGTGAATGTGCCGACTGTGTACGGGTATGAGGGGGCTGAATGTTTCCTGCCTGGTGCCGGAATTGAGTGAAGTCAAATGGATATGAATGCGGGACCAACGCAAAGGGACTGGAAGGGAGATTGGGGTTCATTGGTGTAAGAAGATGTGAAGTCGAGGGGATTGTTGCCGTTGAAGGGACCATCGTCGGAGGGGTGGGGGCAACAGCGGGGATAACCGGCTCAGATGGAGGCTGCACGGGAGCCGCAGGCGCGCGCGCAACACGTTCGAAGAGTCCGACGTACTTGTCCGACTTCCTCTTCAGGGGATTGACATTGAAATGCTCGTTGATTCGATCCGTGAGCATTTGCTTCGTGCCCGCACAGTCCAAGCCCAAATCATAGGTGACATCGACAAGCTCGGGCTTGGACCTACCCTGCAACATGCCATTGAAAGGCTCCTCCGGATCTCGTTCCTCTCTACGCTTCTGCGCCGCATCCTCCTTCTCCTTGTTTACTTTGGCACGGTCTCCCTTCTCCTTCTCCTTCGCCATTCTCTCTGCCTCTGCCTCTGCTGCAAGTTTCCTTCCCTCATCCGACGTCAAACAGCGCGCCTCAACGTTGAGCTTGGGCCGCTTAGTGGGTCGATTCTCCTTCGCATTCACTTTTTGCCTCAGTTCGATGACGTGGTCCTCGAGCAACGCCGCATGCGCCTCCAGTGCTCTGCATCGAGACTCCAGTCGAAGAATCTCTTGTATGAGCACTGGATCGTAATAGAATTGTGCGGGAGTCATGGCTGTTGATCCAGGAGTTGTCGGCGGGTTGGGAGCAGCAGAGGGAACGAAAATCGGATCAGTGGGGAGGTGCGGCTGCGGCGTATAAGGGATATCGTTGTCATCATCATCGTCATTGGATTCGGGATCGTCGTCGTACATTGGTGGGACTACGGGGAGTTGAGATGGCGGAAAGTCAGGCAGATGGGGGAGCTCGCGCGAGGCTGATGAGAATGGAACGCTCGTTGCATAGTCTTCGCGATTGAAAACTGTACGGTCAATGGGCCACATCCCGCTCTTTTTGAAAGCTGATGAGATGGTGCTCGCCTTGAATGTCTTCCTTCGTACGTGCATGTACTCCTTCACAAAGTCCTCCTTCCGCATCTCCTCACGTGTCCAATCAAGAATCTCGTCGCAATGCTCAGCCCATGCTCGGGAGAACGGTCCGAAGATGCCCACATCCAAGGGTTGGAGCTTGTGCGTTGTGTGAGGTGGAAGACAGAGCAAGATAATGCTATTGGCACGTGCAATGTCAATGATCTCAAGAGTATCGTGTGATCCGTGCCCGTCGAGAACAAGCAGAATTGGTTTATCAGCGGTGCCACATTCCTCAGCATATTTCTTGGCTTGTGGAATGAAGCAGTGCTCAAACCAATGGGCCCCGATAAAGTTATCGGTCCACCCATTGATGGACATTGAGATGCTAGTTGAATGAATCAATTCTTATTTCTGATGTATGCAAGAAATTGGGACGCACTGGATGGCAATGTCGTTGTCAAACCATTCGGGACATTGCTCCTTTCCAGGAAATACAAACCCTGGGAGAATGGTAGTTGATCCGTCGGCACAGACTGCTTCGAGAATGGTGATGAGCTCCAGGTTTGCACTGCGGTGGCGATATTTTGCAGTCTGTCGCTTCGAATAAAAGTACTTGACACGCTGTGCCTTCTTCCCGCCTCCTCGCTGACATCCCTTCTCGTCCATGTTGTAAATGTTCTGCATGGGAATGCCATGCTTCTCGACCAGTGCCGTGAGCTCGTCAAAGTAGCGGTTGACAACCGGCTGATTGAAAGCCTGTGCGCGTTTTGGGTCCAATCCGGATGCCGTGCTGAGAATGAGATCAGGGTTACGCTTGAGGAACTTTCCGACCCAATTCCGGCTTGGTTTCTTCCCATCACGTCGGATAACAGCAGCACGTTTTCGAATAGCCTTCTTCGACAGTGGCACACCAATGCTGCCAAGATATGTTGCCCATTGAAGGAGCACTCTTTCTTTGCATGGAGAGAGAAACTGCCGCTCGGCAGCAGCTTCTGCCATGGACTTGTGCCGATTCTTCCATCTGTCAGAAAGAGTGGTGCCGGGAACACCGAACTTGACAGCCACGCGGGAGACAACGGCAGGATGGCCGATGCGACAACAATGAGCAAGGACACCCAAAGCCAGATCCAGACGTTCCTCCGGCTTGAGCTTCTCCAAAGCCTCGTGGACAGGTACATCATAATCCACCCCAGCCTGTGCGGTAGTCTGGCCTGCAGCCGAATTGCTCTTTTTCTGGGTTTCGTTGGCAGAACGCTTTGACGTGCGACTTCCTTTGACGTGTTCTCGAGATCCACGAGGCGTGCGTGGCATTCACAGCCTCAGAAGATAGATGTAGATGCGCACCAGAACATAAGTGTGGCTGTGTGAAACGCGTCTTGACAGTCAACAAACGCGCTACGCGTAGGCTCACGTGTTCTTTCCCATCAGTCGGAGATTCAATTATCACACTGAGCACTCTTGACGTTGCATCTCTCGACCCACTGGCCGGACTGCCCCGGAATAAGTTGCAGACACTGTGTAAAGGTTATAGGCATCTACGAACGCCTAACTGGATGCATCCGCGCAGATCATCCTTAACGGGACCACCAACTTGGTTTGGGAGGGCTCAATGAGAGTACCAGATGCGCGCGGTCAACAAATTGTTGGCGGATTTTTCCCCTCTAAGTTTGTAGGATTAACTAATGGTATGTAAGGTAGAAATTCCGGATGATACTAAGAGTAATGAACGATATGCTACGAAATAGGACCACATTTTCGAACTTCGTGTGCATTTTCGAACTTGATGGCATCAATAGTACAGTAAGTTGACACAAATGTTATCTGAGCAATCTTTAAGATCGTCTGTACCCCTGTGCTTGCCGAGCGTGGGAGTGCCGCTGTCAAGGCACTTGGGAAGTTCCCACCGTCACGCGTCAGTCTGTCTGCTTGGACGACCAGTAAGGTTGTAAGACGCAGAACCCAAGCTACTACCAACAACACTACGGTCTTTGGAATATACATGTGTTGCATCACACGCTTTTTTCGCGTCCCTCTCGCGCTTGATGTCGGATCTGCGCTGGGCCTGATACGCCATTCCATTGGCCAAGCTGCAGACATACTGCATGCATCCTGTCAGACGGGTCAGGAAAAGCTGCCCGCTTCAACAACGTACGTATAGCCTCTTCCCCCTCTGCTCTCGATCTCACCTCATAACGCGCACAGAACGGATGCTGTCCAGTCGGCCTGATCTTCTCCTTGCCACGCTCAGTGCCGTGGGCGTCGCGGGTCTGCTTTCTGTCCTTGCTCGTGCACTTCGGGTTTCGCGCCGTCGAGGGTTGCCCGCACCTCCACCGGGCCCGCGCGGGATACCACTTCTCGGCAATCTGCTCGACGTGTCGCCGGTCGAGCCATGGCTGCGATTCACCGAGATGGGAGACAAGTACGGTACGCGCGAGTCCCTCCTCCCTCCCCGTCCTCCCCCATCACCCACTCTTCCAAAACCGCAGGCGACATCACGTCGCTCCGGATCCTCAATCGCACCCTCATCCTCGTACACTCCGCCTCCGCAGCCGACGCCCTCCTGTCCGCGCCCGCATTCGCCCCGCTGACCGCCGACCGCCCCGCGTTCCCGTTCGCCGGCGCGCTCTGCGGGTTCGACGACGCGCTCGTGCTCGTCCCGTACGGCGCGCGCGTCCGCCGCGAGCGCAAGATGATGCACCGCATGTTCGGCACACCCGCCGCCGTGGCGCAATGGCGCCCGGCCGTGCAGGCGGAGATCGCGCGGCTGCTGCGTGCGCTGGTGCGTGATCCGGGCCGGTATGTGAGCGAAGTCGGCGCGACCGCGGGTGGTATCAGTATGCGGATCGCGTATGGGCATGAGCTGCGGCGGGGCGGGGACGCGCTGTTTGATGCGCTGCATGTCACGGCGACGAGTTTCGTAGATGCCACCATGCCGGGCGCGTGGATGGTTGATGTGTTTCCGATCCGTGAGTGTCTTGCGCGTGATCTTCGATGGGGATGGCTGAGGAACGTATCCTAAAGTGAGATACTGGCCATCCTGGCTGCCCGGAGGTGGGTTTCATGGTGCCGCTGCGGCGATCAGGCAGCAGGTCAGCGATACGGTGGACTTGGTTTTCAGCCATGCGAAAGAGAAGATCGTACGTTCTGTGTTCATTTCATCAGTCCTTAATTCTCATGATGTATCCAGGCAAACGGCAGCGCCCAGACGTCATTCCTCTCTACATTCCTCGAAGAGGGCGGCCACACCGACTATTCGCTCAAATGGGCCGCCGCTGTCATCCATGTCGGGGCGAGCGACACAGTGAGCACCTGAAACCAAAAGCTCTGCGTGTCTGCTGACTTATGCTCTACAGACAGCCGCGCAACTCGAGGGCTTCTTCCTCGCGATGAGTCTGTATCCCGAATGTCAAGCCAGAGCTCAGGCCGAGATCGACGAAGTCGTTGGCCGCGGCAGGTTGCCTACGATGGATGACCGCGAGCAGCTCCCGTATACGAATGCCTTGTGTAAAGAGGTTTTGAGGTGGTTCGTTTCTGGTCCGACAGGTCAGCACGTCCCCGATGCAAAATGAGTCGCGTGATTCTCATTCTGGTCGGACAGGTCTGCCCCACACAGTCAAGGAGGAATTCGTTTTCTCTCTCCACGATGGCCCGCCGATGTTGATTCCCAAGGGCGTAGCGATCATTCCGAACGTTTGGTTGGTTTCGATGGCTTATTTCGTCCAAACAACTCTCGATCATTGTTTGCCAGGGCAATGCATTACGATCCACGTCTATACGAAAACCCAATGGAATTCGATCCCGCGCGGTATCTGGGTGAAGCCGGGCGCAAGGTCGAGGAAGACCCCGCAGGAAGCATCTCATTCGGATATGGACGACGGTAAGCATGAGATTTCGCCTGAAGTCTCCGTCTGGCTGATGTTTCGAATACAGGATGTGTCCAGGTAAGCTCCTCCAATGATGCATCTCGCACCACCCATAATAATATAGGCCGATTTCTCGCCGACTCGACCATATTCCTAGCATGCAGCGCCCTTCTGTCCGTGTTCCAGATAAAGGCCGGCGGCGACTCGAAACCGGTCAAACGCCAGAGTAGCCAGAGCGTGAGGTACGCAGGAGCCACCCGGATCGAGCCCAGTTCAGCTGAGCTTTGCCACATTCTAGCCACCCGCTGCCTTTCGAGTGCTCGATTACTTTGAGGGACATCCACTCGGATGGATTAATCCCGCTTGAAGAACCCAGTTCATAGAAGATGAGGATAGGCTACGATGATCAGTGTCATGGATCTCGTGTGGATTAGATGACGGAAGGCTGTCGCTTATAAACCCTCGCTTGCACATCAGGTTCGAGGACTATGACCGAAAGCCTGCTGCCTCGAGCATCCTTTGAGCGAAGAAGTCGAAACCTGCAGACTGTCAACCATCTCATTCTTACGCAGTTGCTTTTGGGCAGTCGGGAAAATCAACCGGCACGTGATCGTGGCCCCACTCTCACTGCAAAATATGTAGAAAGAATCGGAATTGAGAATGCTGCAGTTGAATCTTCTGTTTGTGATCGCTTTGCATGGTTCCCTACACACTCTCTGCGGAAGACTTCGATCTTGCGAGGGGAGTGCTACATGCTTCTTGGCGTCTACATCTTGATCCACATGCGTTGCAGGTTGCAATGCCCGTAGTGTTTCCTTTCATGAGAAAAATGGTTGGCTGACTGGCTGTACACCATAGCAATCCGAAAGACATGCGTGCTACATCCCATACTAAAGTTTGATTCCACCACTCTCCTCCTCGTCGACATCGTCGTCCCCCACCGCGAACGACGGAGCTTCGGATTCAGCAACAACTAGCTCCGGAGCTGGGACGCGAATCGGCGCGGGTGGAGGTGGCCCTGAACCCGTAGATCGAGAGAGCTGTGGGACAGGCATACCGGCCATGAGCTGCGCCTGGTGGCTTGCGGGATTCAATCCGGACCCGGCCGCATTGACAGCACTGACGCTTGCCGGCGCAGGCGCCGGTGCGGGCATCTGCACGCCACCGCCGCCTTGGGCTGGGGGAGCCATGACCTGGGTTTGATGGCTCGCCGGATTCGTCACTGGCTCCTTGCGCGTGCGGACGAAGGCGGAATTCGAGTCCGCGGAGCTGGGTAAAGTGAAACCTGCGCCCCCTTCGCGGTCGGTGGGCAAGGCATCGTAGCGGCCTCCATATTGCGGTCCTATGGGAATAGTATGTGAGAATTAATGGGAATGTCAAAATGGAGCTCTGGACGCACCACGTCCGTAGGTTGCTGCCCAATCACTCGCCATCTCCAGCGCATCTCGACCGTGATGTATCATACCCGCGACAGAAAACCTCGGCAGTGCATCGGTGCCCTGCAAGTTGAGTACGAAGTGATTGTAGATGGTGCCGACAACGACATAGAGTATCAGGAGCAGGATGATGCTAGCATCCAGGTCAGCGCACTGACGCAAGGAAGGAATGCGACATACGAGATGAACAACCCCCAAATAAATCCGCCGAACGTAATTCCCTCGCTTGTCGGACAGGCGGCCTATAGACGTAACATCGATCAGCACACGACAGCGCATCCATGCTGGAGCCGAGCACGCACCGCAGTCCGCCACTCGAACACCCACGCACACGCCTTGTCGTCTGGGCCCGCGGGGAGCTGCGCAACCAGACGCGGCTGCCCACGACCCGCCCCCGGATCGCATACGAACTCGATCTCACTCGAGCCGCGCAGGTTGTCGATCGCGTTCCCCGCGGAATCAATGCATTTGGAGCCGCCAGTGAACGCGAGGTGCGGGTGCTTGGAACGCGAGTGGAATGACAACGTGGTATTTGTGCGTCTGAGTTGGCAGGTCAGATCAGAGAAAGGGAGGTTTCGTGGAAGGGTGTGAGGGAGGCGTCGAAGGAACACAGACGCACCCGAGAGAGAAATCCCCGTGTCCCCGCCTAACGAATCCCGCGACATTCGCAGGATCGTCGATGCCCTTCAGCCCCCACGTCTCTTGCGACACGCTCTTGCAGGCGCTCAGGACGATCTCGAGATTCTCCGGGCTGCTCAGCTTGTAATCGTCTCTGGTCGGCGCGTGAGTCCTCGAGCTTGTCTGCGGGCCACGTCACGGCGACTCACGTCGACTGCACACGGTTCAGGTCGTAATATTTCCCATCGTGATGTGCGGTACACGGCTTGTCTTCGGCGGCGCCGACCGTAGAGACGAAGGAGCCTGCCCCGAAGAGGAGAAGAGGAAGAACGGGGAGACGGAAGAGCATAACGTGCGCTGATGCGCAGCCAGGGCTCGGAAGATGCCGAAGATATCTGATTGGTTCGTTATCATGGACATGTAGCACACATCAGCAGGAGGGTTTGGGGCTTGTCGCCGTTTCCGACGTTTTACAATACATTGGATTTGGCTAAGAAGCACATATATACGAGTTGAAGACGTGCGACCGAACATGGAGGAGAGTTCTTGCATTGTAATGGCAATCTCGCTGCGTGTGTCTGCTCCCAGTTTGACCATCATCATTGAGAATGTCCCACCAATGGACGAGTCCAAAACCCGGCAGCCCGAAAATGAATGACGCTACCTTCATCGTGCGTGGAAGTTCTCGTAGGCACAACCGTGATCAGGGCCATGCAGATGTAGATGAGAATCAGCCCCCTCAGCTTCTCGGACCCAAAAAAGGCTTTTTCAGAGATAGGGAAGCATAGAAACGGGACTCATTCATACATGATCACACATTATCGAAAAGTGAGCTAGTCCATAGTGACTTCTGAGACTTGGGTCAGACAATCAATAGAAATACAGTCAGATTCGGTGCGATATACAAAGTGCAGGTGGATGAAGCAAAGCTTGTCTATTTTCTTACGTCTAACATCCACTCTCCCGCCTCATTCTCTCAAGCTCCTCCCACTTGTGCAATCCCCACACAGCAGGAAGACGTTCCCAGAATCGTTCCCTACGAGACGTCCAATCCGCACGCATGTAGGCCATGCACGTCGAGCAAACCCGGAGTCGAGTAAAGTCCTGGATGACGAGGGTGAGGGAATGGCAGTGGCGGATGAAAGAACGCACCTCCTCGGACCAGATCGCCCGGCCAGAATCATCTGGATCTTGATCCATGTCTTTGTCGTCCTGCTCGTCGTCCTCTGCGAAAGTGCCCGGCACTGGACCCGTGCTAATCTAGAAACAAAGACACACAATCACTCGATAAGCTCCAATCGGCTGCAAAAGAAACAGGCCTACTCACAGCGATCGGGAACAGCCCATCCGCCCTCCACCGCTCGGCCGCAGCTCTCACCGCCATGCGATCAGCTGTGCACGCCGACATGCCGGTGCCACCGTCGGACCCGCTCCGCCCCGTACACCCGGGGATTGCCATGGGGCTCCACAGGAAGCCGAGCACATCGCTGACCTGCTCGCCCATCCCGCGCGCATCCAGCAGGAGCAGCTTGTCGGCGCGCTCCAGCTCGACGTGCACGCCGGTGTAGTCGATCCCACCGAGGATGTCGCTGGTGGACAGGACCGCCAAGGCACGCAGGAAGGCGGTGGGGAGGATCCACGGGGCGGAGGCGGCGCGTGCGAGTGCAATGATGGGGAGCTCGAGGTGCGAGAAGTCGAAGGAGGGGCCGGCGGCGTAGGGATCCGTCAGTGCCAGCGCCAGTGCCGGGGCGCGGGTTGTGGGCGACCTTGGTGCAGGGGCCGGGGCTGCAGAGGCAGAGGTAGATGAGCCCAGGGAGGACGTGGAAGCGGAGGGTGAAGTCGCGCAGAGGGCATCCCATGCCAACAGGCTTGTCGGGTGTACTGAGGAAAGATGTTGTAATGCCCGTCGACGCAGGGGCTCTACGCGATATTTAGTGCCAAGCCGAAGAACGCCGTGGATGGCGTCGAAGTCTGTTTTTGCCGGATAGGGCGCGAAGAATCTGGGCTGCGGGGTTAGCGGCGGGACAGGGGCGGAAGCGCGGCGGAAAAAAAGGAAAGTGAGGGGAAGGAGACGTAGAGGAAAAGGAGGAGGGGAAAGGAAGACCCAAGAGACGAGCAAAAAGAGACACCACATACTCGTAGTCGAAAAGCGCTTTTAGAAAATACATCATGTCTGCCGCCGAGTCGTCCAGCACGAGAACCGGGCACCCATCCACCATCTCCCGCTTGCTCTCCGTGCCCTCTTCCGCATCGGCAGCGAGCATCTCCGCAAGGACGCTCGAATGAGCCGCGAGTATGCCACGGAACACGCGGAAGAGCACGCCGCGCACGCTGATGACGATGTTCCCGTCCAAGAACCAGAGCGACGGCACGCGTTCCGTCGCAGCCAGGTCCATGGTCCGACAGTCTACTTGTGGGGCGTTTGAGAGTGGGGTCAGGATGCGTGCTGGCGGAAGAGGATCGCGAAACACTGTGGGCGTCAAGCAGGTACGAGAGCAAGCGCCGCTTGGGCGATGGATGGAGAGATTACGATAAACGTGTGCTCCGCGCGGCAGATGGGAAGGATGACCGGGTGAATGAAGGGAAGGATGGATGGTGTCAGTGCGAGGCGGTGGGGGACCGTGGGGTGGTACGATGATCAATTTTGGCTGACGCGAGGCGGCGTAACCTCGGCCCGACGCAAGTCCGTGTCCGTGCCTGCTCCGATTGTAATATGTGTTTTGCGGGAGTTCTAACTCGTGAGTGCACCGCAAGGAAAGACAATGACTTGTCATTTTTACACTCATCTTGGATGCTTCTCGCTCAGATCGTCAGCTGCGTGTTACCGAAGTCATGCCCACCAGTCATCCGCCACAAATTCGAACTCTTTGCCGCTCTGATATAATTATCTAAATTGCTTTTGCTGTAGTGAAATCAGGAACACGTTCTCACTCACGGCCAGCCTCCGCACGAATGCCGTCAACACGATCCCAGCTCCAAGTTAGAGGGCACGTCGGATTCAATAGTCGAGGCTGAGTTTCACACCAGCTTCAGATGCAGCCCAATCGCAAGATGAGGTGGTGATTGAGGTTCGAATGGCAGCACCGTTCTAGCAAACCACTGAGATATCGTGTCCGTAGACTCGGTTTGGTCGCATTTGAATGATCGTGGACCGGTGATAGAAAGCATCCCAGCTATCATGACCTGTTCCCGTCGTATCTGTCCTCAGGAACCGAAGTTGCACGCCAGACTTATGGTAGCTCCCCGCTGTGGGATCGGTTGAGTTACAAGTCATCAGCTGGCGCCTGCATGATAGCAACATCAATAAATAAGCAGCTGTTGGTGACGTAGTGAATCCGACATACACCGCCCGTCCTAGCCATCAATGATCCTGAGATAGCGTACACTGCGCGCTGCACTGCGTAAGCCGGGAGACGAGAGCCCCCGACCCAAAGCTCTTCATGCGAATCAAATCTTCGGGAGGTTCAGCACAGCGAGTGGGCGCTTCGTTGGCGAGCCGCTCGACAGCACTGCAGATGTCAGTCCTCAACATCTCATACCAGTTGAGGTAGATTGATGCATTGCATATTGACCAAGTAGATTCAATCTGAACTCTCATGCCCGTCCACGCCGGGTGCCAATGACACAGACATCGACAATCGATCTGATTTCTTATGCTAATTTCCTCAATTACTTGCCGTCCAGAAGAAGATCACGTGACTGCACAGCATCATTTCCCTCTGATGGCTCGTACCCGCCACTGATCGGTTCGCAATCCGCTTCTTTTTCTCGAGGACTCACCTGGATGTTCTTGCACGATATCAACTGCCTGCCGTCCATCTCTGGAGCCATGCACACGCGTCCCCGACGGCCTTCGTTCTATCCCAATCTCTGGCCTCCGCCTGTCACGCACATTGCACGTGGCAATTAAAGCAACGCCCCGGTCGGGAGGAAGGAACGGGGAAAGATCATATGCTGCTCGGACACTCTCATGAGGAGGACCCACGCTGCCCGGAAAACGTCGTCCACCGCCTCTCCCGCGACACCCGACAATCAATCATCGCGTCGGACTTTCGGTAGCGCCGATGTCGATGCGCCAGCACTGCCCCACACGCCAATGGGTCCCGCAGTGGATTGCATGGTGATTGCTGATGACACGTTCTACATGGAACGGCGTTTGACTCCGGGCTTGACTCGCTGGGCCTTCGTCTCACCCAGCCACACTGCCCGGATGTGCCGGTGCTTTTCTAGACAGGCGGCGTGCGCGTGGCACGGATGAGCCGGGAAACCCGTGCAGTGCGTGAAGAAGCTGTTGGACTACCACTCCCTTTGCGGGCGCGTATACATATGCTCTGGTCTTGTGCACTAGTGCCGGATCTTGTTACTGCCGCTCCCCTCCCTTCTGGGTCGAATGTGCGTCCTTCTGTTAGCCTCCCTCGTGGTCCTCCACCGCGAAGCTGATCAGGGTGGCTGATATGATTGCAGCGCGGCGGAGTCTGTTCTTCGAAGTCAGGCGCATATACCCACAGTCACCTACACTCTACACACGCACGTCCTGGCCATGAAACGGTCGCTGAGGTCTCCACACCAGCCACTGGCAACCCACAGCGACAACGCGACGGCATTCGAGTACACCGAGAAGGTGTGTGCCGCAACATCTGCTTCCTCGCGTGATTGCTCAACAGTCCTTGGCAGACCGCCGACCCGATCATCCCGAAACGAGAAGCCGCCGGGGCGCTCTTCGAGGACCGTGTCATGAAGATGCTCGCCCGAGCGCAATCGGAGGTGGATCGGATGAAACAGGCGCGGCTGCGCATCGAGGTGAATGCGATCCGCACGCACTCGAACAAGCTCCGCTGACCGCAACTGTTCAGCGCTGCAACGCTCTAATGCCCCGTCGCTGGGCTCACACAGCCCTTCCCCCGCCGCCGGCGTTGTTCTTTGGCCGGGACCGCGAGCTCAACGCTCTCGTCGACGCGGTCGCGACTTCGACGACTGGATCCACCCCATCGTGCTGCTTGGGTGTCGTCGGCGAAGCCGGGATCGGCAAGACGACCCTAGCGCAAGCCCTGGTCCACCACCCGAGGACGTGTGCGCTGTTCTTAGACCGGCGTTACTGGATCACGGCGGGACACGCAACTGCGTTCGCTACCGTGGATAACGTCATCGAGGAAGGACTAGGTCCGGGACGAGCGCTTGTGGTCATCGATGATTACGGTGAGTGGTGCCCTAGCCTGAGCTGACTCGTGACACTGACTGATGTGCGATACAGATCCTGCGCGGGACAGCGATACCCTCCTCCGGCGCTTGATGGGGCTACCAGCGGTGCTGCTGCTGCTTCTCTCCGGCGTCTCTTCTCCTCATGTCAGCTGCTATCCTTCCATGACTCTCTCGCCGCTGTCGCTGGAGAATGCGCGCCAGCTGTTCCGCGCCGTCGCGGATCTCGGCTGTGATGCGCCGGGAGATATGGTTGATGCGGTGATCAGGCCGTCGCAGGGGCTGCCCCGGGTGTTAGTCGAGCTTGGGCAGAGAGCGCAGTACGAGCCGCTGGAGTTTATGCTTATGGAATCGTGATGACAAGGACGAAAGGCTGGTTAAGCCCAAACACGGGTGCTGTGCCAATGACGTGTATCATCTGCTCTGGCAGAGCGTAATGCTAAACCGATGGATATCTCGGCCTAGTTCTATTAAGAATCTTCTGAAAGACAAAGACACGCAGTGTAACGGGAGTGAAGAAGCTGGCTCGTCTGGACAAAGCAGGCATCACCTGAGAACTCGGAAAATATGGGGCAGCGATGAGAAATGAATGGCCTGGGTTTACATGTGCAATGTCGCAGAACAATAGAGACCGTCTTCTACAAATATCGCCGCAAGGAGCGTAACGCTGATGCATGTTTTCTGGTGGGCTTCGGTATCAGTTATCGCTCATGAGTCTAGGCGCTGATGGGGATTGAGCAAGCGGTCCGTCCTGCAAAGCCGTGAATTCTAATCAATTTCATCTCATTTCTACCCTCCATGACTGAAAAATAATGTACATATGTTGCAAGATATCCAATCATTCATACTCACACGAAATAATATCCCCACTCTCAATTTTCTAGGCAGGCGACGAAACGACGATTGAAGAACGAGGATTTTCTATATTCGTTCTTGAAGCTGTCTGGGAAAAAAGCAAACCACGCAATTGCCGCAGACCACGAACGAGTCACAGCTCCGTTCTGCTTCCTCCTCACCCCCAAGGGGAAAAATACCGCTTCATCTCTTTCGCAGAAGTTGTTCATCCCATGCCCGACGGAACATTGACGACGAGTCAGATTTCCTGCACCGATATGGGCATGTAGTCCCGCCGTGCAAGATCTAGAGCAGGAAGCATGCACGCCGCCCCGGCAGCTTTTCCAGTGGACAAGGTTGGGGCACAGGCGCTATGTATAGTCCTGCCAGTGTACGAACCCTGTTAAGATAGGGTCCATCAATGTTTGTACATTTGTTTGTATATTGATTCGGGAGTTTTCTCCCTGTCTCTGACCGTCATCCGGGTGCGACGCGGGCTCGACGTCAACATAACCCGATTGCATGCTTTGTTGTGTCGTCGAAGCGCCCGTTGACAAAAGGCTGTCTGACAAGTGTGGGATACTCAGCTGAGCGCCCGGGGGCGTCTAGGCATACTGGGATCTTGATCGCGGGAACAAAGCTACAGCCCCGGGCTCAGTTTATCTCCCCGATCACAAAATGGGGAATCAGTGTGAAGGCCGTCATGCGATACTGGATTGATTCGAGGAGTATATTTCAAGATGCATCTGTGGTGGTTTGAAGCATTTGGTGACTCTGTATATCGCAAATCTAAAACGCTTGTCGTCAGGAATGATCGTTCAAACTTCAAAGAGCAGTAAGGTCTTGAGGTTCCGCCCGGCAAACGGAGGACTCCAGCGCTTATGCTCGGCCCGACAGTCTTTGTTCGAATTTTGCCTTATGAGAAGGCAACATTTGGGACTTTTCTCATGAAGGTGAAAACCACGAGGCAGCAGCAGCGCCAATCTCCGATTGGCAGGGTCTTGCTTTGTTCTGGACGGTGTTTATTAGAGGCCTCGAGGGATGTCGTGTCCTCGACCCCACGCCCGTGTCCACTACCTCCCTCACTATGACGCGCCTCTGGCAGAAATTGGAAGCACAGGACCCGAGCGATGAGCTAGTCAAGTGGCCAATCTTTGTGACCGTGGTCAATCCTGATCCTAAGGTATGTCAGCACACGATTGCCACGCCCGATAAGCCCATCCCAACCCTCCCCTCCCGCTCAGGTCATCAATCGACTATTCCTATCAATGCAGAGTTTCTTCGAGAGCGAGCACCTGGAGGACTCCAAATGGGTGATCATCACCTCCTCGCGGGACATACACGACGGACCCGACGGGCCCCCGCCCGCGACCACAGAGCCGTGGACCGCGGGCCAGCGCAACGACTTCGCGGGGATGTCGATGGAGGCGCTGAACCACTGGACGTGGATCCACATGGACGCGCTCGACGACCGGGACCTGTTCTTCGAGGACTGGGCCGTCATCGATCAGACCGCCTACGACACCGGCACGGTCGTCGTCGTCAAGCGCTGGTTCGGCCCAAGCAAAGAGATCATGGAATCGGACCCTTCAGTCGATTTCGAGATGACCGACGAGGAGCTGATGGAGCTTTCGGCGCACACCGAGGAATATGTTGGGCTGCGGATGCCACCGGAGCAGGCGTACATGGCGTTTGGACCCGAGAGCGGGAGAAAGTCGAGCGACTATTGGTGCGGACTCCGGGATACGCTGGAACCGGATGGGACGACCGAAATACTCGATGGGGCATATCGCCTGGACGGGAATCCCAAGCGGCCCGAGAGACGTTCAATTGCGTTTGAAGCGTGGAGAAGTCAGGGATACATTGATTAAATGCAGTGATTCAGGTTCAAAAGCTCGTGCTCTGTAATGGGAATGGATGTATCAAGCTCTACTTTTCCGCAAGGGTTTTCACATTGATCGATCACTCAACCGGTCCTTGCCGTGGTTGAACACATGATCAGGTGTCAGCGATTTTCTCCACGTTAGAGACAGAAAGGAGGAAATTAGGGAGACCCGGAGAAACGGAAGAGCAATGTTATTGATTTATCGAGGTATATGAGGTAGTATCAATTCGCTCGCACCACAGCATGTGAGTCGACAGAGAGGATGAACCCTTTAGCTTCCCAAACAGAGCAAGTCCTGGAGATTTGGTGCATCCAGATATTTGACGATAGTCGCGTGATCCTCTTCGTCATGAAAGATGAGCCGCCGGAGATGAGGCAGAACGATTAGCGGGCCAACCGGATCGCAAAATTGGTACGACGTCGCGAACGACGGCCGGATACCCATCTCAGACGACCGCAGATTCGACGTCAAGCGGAGGATGTCGAGCAGCTTGGGCAGGGGGTACACGCCACGGAAGTGCGTCAGCTGAGACCAAGGTCTGTGCTGAGCGTGAGCCGGGACGAATAGGTCCGGAGGTGAAGACTACGTACAGGAGCGCAGAGGGCGAACCCCTGCCCGCCACCCCAACCAACTCGACCTCCCGCAACCTTGGCACGACCTCCCCCAGCCCAAACACATCCCCCAAATCGTCGTCCGGATCACCGACGATGGACAATCGCTCGAGCGCCCCGAGACCGTTGTCGACGGATATTGTCTGCCGCACCGTCCACGCCGCATGCCGAAAATCCACCAAACGCAAGTGCAGAGCGCGCCAACGGCCAGACGCAGCAAGTAGCGACGCGGGCAACACGAGCTCCGGCGGCTCCGGCGCATACGCACCTGCTGCATCGAGATTGTCGCCCCAGCAGAACACCTCAAGTTCCTGCAACCCCGCACGGCGCAGTTGCTCGTCCACCCTCGCCTCGCAGTGCGCGTCAGCCGGCCCGATGACGAGCACGACGCGGGCCCAGATATGTGGGCACGACAGCGCTGCGGCGCGCCAAGTCGAGCTAACGCCTGCGATCGTCCACGGGGACACCGAGCTCTTGGTGCGGTGCGCTTTGAGGCGGTGGGGGTTCCATGTGATGTCCAGGCTGTCCGAGTCGAGCACGGCCGTGCAGAAGATCTGGTATAGCAGCTCGGGTGGAAGGTCGGGTATCGGGGTCGGGGCGCCCATGCGAGGTGGCGGATCTCTGAAAAAGCGACGATCCGAAGCACGGTCTTTTTTGCTCGAGCATGTTGCGGACAGATATCTTCCACCGCTGATCGATCAAAATTGATCGGGGCCAATCACTATCTCGGCTGATGGCGCTCCACCCCGGATGCAATCAGTGTCTAGCTCAGACTGTTGCAGGACCTGCGAAATTCCCGCCAAATGTTAGCCCCCCTGTTGGACAATTTTTGGTGGGGAGGGGTCGAAAATGTTAGCCCAAATTAGTAGGGTGTTGGACAAAAACTGCGGCTCCATTCGGCGATACTTAGGTCACGGGGTTGGACAAAAATTCGCCCCAGTCCGGTCTGGTCTGACCCCGATTTACCCCAAATAGATCAATTTTTGTTGATTAGTGCTTCTTCAATCGAGACACTCGTTCAATTCCGGACCATATTTGGAGTAGTTCGTGTAAATTCGCTCGAAAATCATTCACCAATCGCTTCTCTCATATATATTACCCCCGAGTCGTCCTCAGCATTGTCGGGAGCGCACCCTCAAGTGCCGGTCCTCTCGAATGGTGACTGTCATCACTATCAAAGATGATGTACCCTTCGATGCAAGTGTACGGATTGGGCAAAAGAGCGGGACAACGACATTTCTTGGGAAGTTATACAAGGAAAGAATCGAGCTTTAACGCCGCCGCCAGCTGAAGTTGCGAAAATCCTCCCAAAAACTTCAATAAACGTGCTCGAGATGAAGGGGAGGATGAATAGGCTGGATAGCGCTTAAAATGCTTGTAGAACTCGGATTTTCAATTCCATAGGCATGTACATACAAAAAAACGATTTTTTGGAGGTCATGTACAGGTTGGACAAAAATCCGGGGCTTAGGCCCGATGTGCGTTGGACAAATATCGGGCCGGACGGCCGATTTTGGGGCTAACATTTGGCGGGAATTTCGCAGGTCCTACTGTTGCAGGGTGAGATGATACGTTAACGGGTTTGCAATTTCTCTTCCCTGTACTTGCAGCTCAGAATATGATCATGGATGATTGCAAGGATTGGTGAACTCGAATAGACATGTCCTCAAAGATATCAGGTCAGATCGGCATAAGTGTGACAGAACTCAGGCTGCCGTTCGAAACCTCAGGAAAAACAGATTTTGGATGGAAAGGCACACAACAAAATACCTCCTCGTCCTCGACCTGAACAATGGTTGGATTTTCACACCTTGAGCCTTGGGGCAGAGTTTGCTGGTCGCAACATGACCCGTTCGGCCGGGCTAGGGCCCATATGTCTCCTGCGAGCCTTGAGTTTCCAGGTATGTAAATAAAGAATTCAAGGAGTTGATGAGACTTGCGGATCAGCAAAAGAAAACTTCAGTCCGTATCTGTTCAGCTCCAGTTTCTGACATGGATTTACTTCCACAAGACCAAGTCCTGGCCCCATTTTTTCTTTCATCGCATGTCAGTCAAACAGATACTGCGTTCGAGAATGATAACATCATAGGAGCCTTGGACCAAGCACAAATCTGGTAACAGGCGGTCCGGATTCGAGCGAACCTCCGCGAGGTCTCGTCGACTGCCTTCTAAAACGTGCCGGAGACTTCTGTTGTCTGCCTTTCGTCTTCTTCCGGCCGCCAGACCACCAATTCGTACTTCCCACGACGAAGCATACATAGTTCGGGACAGGCAAGTGATCTGCTCGAAGCCTCGACTTACAAGCTCCAACGCACGTTTCGTGGGGGGGTGGAATCTCTGACAAACCTGCCTCGGCATTCCCCTCTGGACCAGCAGATCTAAGTATAGTTTGAGAACAGTTCCTCATCGCCGCGGTTTCAATGAACGGTGAGACGTTACGGCAGAAGGCGAGGAGGACTACTGATGTGACAGGTGGAGAAGAGAAGCGAAATATGCCAGTTTGAAGAACCAGGGCAGTCTAAGACCAGAAAGAATTCATTTCGCGTGAATTTCTGCCGCCAGTGGCAGGCTTGTAGTCATGGGACAAGAAAGACATTGTCTTCTACTACTGGATTCGCCTATTATCCCCGTTCAGTGAAGACGAATTTCTTCTTTCTGGGTCGTACTCGAAATAAGACACAGGGCTATGTCCTACGCTTTGTGCTCATCTAGATCCTCTCACTAGCGGACGATCGGGAAAATGAATCCTTGAGCCTGCTCGAAAGCAGAAGACCTGGTATATCCAACAGCAATCTCCGCGGACGACAGCCGCAAGGCGATTGCCATCGAGTTGGTTTGGAGCGGTGTCACCAATTTTACTACTATCAAGTCGAAACTTGACTGAGCCTCACAGATATCCTAGTTTTGTAAACCTGCGCTCGCTGGACGTCGCAACCCACTTGAATTCCCACCAAATCATAGCGCACGGCTATATTCCCGCCTTTGATGCACCGCCTGACTGTGCCTCACAACGTCGCCCTCCGCGGCCCGTCACATGCGGCGGCAGGCCGCCTCGGCTGTGCTAAAAATAGTCATGACACAGCTTGATCATGAAAGGGTATATAATCATGACGATCTGGTGACCACTGTAACGCACTCATTTCACGACTTACCCGTTCTCCGCACTTCCCAACTCACTCGTACACTAATGGAACGCATGCTTGAGAGCTTCATGGGTGGCGGCGGCGGCCAGGAGCATCAGCGACGCGAAGAGCACCATGGCCACCATGGACACCACGGCCATAACGAAGAGCGGCGCTTCGAGGAGGAGCGGCGCTATGAGGATCGCCGCGAGGACGAGCGGCGATATGAGGGTGGGGGTGGCTATGGCGGAGGCCCGATGGGCGGATGGGGCGGGTATGAGGAGTTCCGGCCGTTCGACGAGCAGGGTGCACGGGCGCACTACGAGCAGGTCTATCTCGCGGAGCACCAGCACAAGTCGAGCCTCACGCACGAAGGTACGTCCTGTGTCTCCCTGTCCGTTGTACAGGGTTCTGATACGCGTGGGGTAGTGATCGCCGGTGCAGCAGGCTTTGCTGCGATGCACGCGTATGAGGCGCATCTCCGCGCCACGGGTCAGCCTGTGACTCACGGGAAGATGAAGGTACGTCGCTGTCGCTACCATCAACCATCTGCGCTCCCGCTCGCTCGCTCGATCTACACATCGATTCATGCAATTGTGCTCCTGCATCCGCATCTACGCACCATCCACTTACTCTTTATCTCCGCACTCCCTCTCACGACTTCAATCTAAACTCACACCGACCCCAGGAAATCCTCGCGGCCATCGCTGCCGCGGAGGTCGACAAGCTCGCCGAGACCAAGGGCATGGACTACCTCGACCGCCAAAAGGCGAAGAAGTACGCCGAGCACCAGGCGCACATGCTCGCCGAGCAGCGCTACGGCCAGGGCAACACGGGCTGGGAGCACGCCCAGCGCAACGGCGGCCCGCGGCAGGAATACAACTTCTACGGCGGCGCGCCTTTCGGCGCGCAGGGCTGCGCGAATTACGGCTGGTCAGTCACGCGTCCACGCACGTTTGATGTGCCCTGCCCGTGACTAAGCGGATGTTTGTTTTAGGCAGGGACAGGGTGGATACGGCGGTGGATACGGTGGCGGTGGCCCGGAATACGGCCGCGGGGAGGGATACCGTCGGGAAGAGGGCTATGGTCGTGGGGAAGGATATGGCCGGGAAGAAGGGTATCGCCGCGAGGAAGGGTACGGCCGCCGCGAGGGGGAGTACGGCCGCCGCGACGAGGGCTACGAACGCCGTGGGGAGGGCTATGAACGCCGTGATGACGGCTACGGCCGCCGCGAGGAAGGCTACGGGGGCGGATACAACGCACCAGGCTACAATCCCGGATACAACAACGGTTACTGAGTCAGCTCGTCCCAGTAAACTTGTGATCGACGAGGCCATATTGTACATTTACTTCCTATTGCTAGCCCAATTGCAAATCGTTTCTGATCGACCGTCAAGCAGTGTTGATTGTGAAAAAGAGTGGTGGAACTGTGAGGATCAACTGAGAGTGAAGTGACGGACCAAACAGGATGCAACCAACACGTGCTCCCAGGACACATGTGGCGGATCGGCTTGGCTGTCCTACGGACGGATGATGCTCATGGTCACGACAAGTGGCGACAGCGATTGCGGTGAAGGCGTCAACAGGAGTCCTATAGGGCTTCTGAGTTCCTGCGTTGTCTATCCAGCCATCCGCTTATCGAGACTGAGCACCGACACGCGTTGGAAGCAATTCTCCCGAGGTGAGCACAAGCATTGGGAACAGATCGAAGGCTCACTTCTCATGCTTAGATGAATTGATATATTTGAACCAAGACTTTGAAGTCCAATTGGGGGCTTTTTTTGCAGTGTACAGTAACGCTTCCCCAAGCCCTCTCAACCGTCAAAGTCAGTTCTATAACTCGATCCTTGAGCGGACGACAAAATAATCTAGCCGCTGCTCTTCTCTCTTTGGCTTTCAAAACGGCGGGTCGCTTGGGTTGCGTTATCCTGCCTCTTGTTCTGACGGTGGTCTGGTGCCGAAAATTGCCCCCAAGCAGCCGCTGGTGACGAATAGATAAATCTGGCTACAGATCCGGCAGGAAGAAAAACAAAATAATCAATAAATTCACTACTGCCAATACGAGAGATTTATCACGTGATCAGTAAAAAAACAGCCTGACATATTGGGTAAATTCTGAGAAATTGACCTGAAACAGAACGAGTTACGCGACGCAGACCTAACGATTCTTTGTGATCAGGGACTGAGTTCCGGGCATCGGAAGTCGTTTCTCGATGGAGATAGTGATGAGTACGTGGACTGCGCTGCCCATAGATTACTGGCGATCGCAGAAATTAACCGTGGTAGGCAAGAATCTCGAAGCACATGGTATAACATGACACTTGCAAGGCGATGCTTCACGGTGAACTCCCACTCACGGGATGCGCCCGTTGGCGACGGACACGTCCGGAGATCGGACTTTCATGTCAATTATCCAGATTTTCCGCGTCGTTCAAGAAAATAGATCTACATCATTGCCGAACGCATGCTCAAGGCGGAGCCTTATTTTTAGAGTCTAGTTTGCGGTGCTGAAGTGCGTCTTCTACGAGGTTCAAAGTAGTTCCTGCAAACGTTGAGATTCAGTGTTCTGCGCGTGGACGCAATCAATCTTTGATGCAATTGATGACGAATCTGGCGGGAATGGCCCGGCGCGATTAGATCCTGGTTCAAAAATCCACGAGAAAAACATTTTCGAGTTCGATGCAAATTATCGGGGGCTGCAGATGTGAGCTCGGTGCACATCTAGATTTTTCACAAAGTCCTTTCGACATCGACTGGGGAGATCTGTCCACTTGAATGAATCCGATTTACCGTTATTGTAGTTTCGCAGGAAATGACATTCTTCGATTCAGAGGCCAGTGACGGTGCTCATTTCAATTTCCCGGGTGATTTTGATTAGTTCTAGTCATGCTGATAGCAATGTATTGTTGAGAGTCAAGCGGATAGTCACTCGTCAAATGAATGTTTTACTAAAAACTGTATCCGCTAATCCTGGAATGCCTAGTTTGCGAGGAGTAAGAACCCAGGAGATTCTGCGGTAAAATAAACCTTCGGCAGTATTTGCGGCCTGCCACGAAGAAAGAAGGGCGCGATGCAAAACCGATTTTCGGTTATGCTACTTTCCTCAGGTCTTTTCCACAGTTATCCTAGTTAATGCTGTTGCTATTCTTTCTGAAGGATGCCGAAAAACCGTTCTATAAACCGTTGAAGCATAGTGTCACGAGCAAATTCAATATCAACCATAGCAATAATAGTAATAGGCGAAGTGGATTTCAGGCCCGACCTTATCTGAGCAGACCTTGATCACGATGACCAGAGAAGCGGGAGACCCACAGAAATTCCCTTTCGGAAAGAAAAAAAAGAATTTTCCCCGAGTGCGTTTTGGATCTCCAGATGTTCATGGCCGGATGCGGTATATCCGTGCGGTTATCCAAACCTGGTCCAGTGCCTCGCTTAAGGCTGCTGGGTGCCAACCAAGCTCCACCACCGCTTGAGTCCGGTTTGACTACGGCTGATTAGATCAAATCCTCGTGTCTGGCTCTAGCTCTTCCCTACAGTATATAATCTGGGCGTGCAATCTCTGGCCTTTGCTCATCCACCTCCTTTCATCTCGACAGACTTTCTGACATGAACATCATTGACCTCTTCCACTGCCCGCACCGGTATTTCTGCTCTGCGGTCTCACTAGTGCACAGCACATTATTTATCCTCACGCGCCGTAGAGAGAAGATCTCAACCTCGCGAGACGACTACGATATCGACGAAGTCACCGGCTTTCTTCCACCTTCCCCTCCTCCGCGTCTATCAGGTCCTTTTGCCTTGTGGGAACAGGCCTTGACTGAGGCCCGCACGGGAGTCTTCCTGTGGGACGATCAGTCTGAGGACTCGTCGGGAAAGCGCCTCTCCTCGGAAGCATGGCGGTCGAGGATTCTATCTGTAAGTCGGCTCCCCGCGCTTATGATCTGCGCTCAACATCTGTCAAAGTTGCCCGTGATTGACACAAACGTGCTGCGAGGAAATCTCCGGGGTCTACACCGGGCACATGCGGTTCTCGCTTTTCTGACACACTACTTCGTCCACTCTGCGCCACCAGCAGGGTCGGATCTCCCGTGTGTGGTTCCCAAGGCTCTTGCCATACCATTCGTCACTGTTTCTCGCGATCTCGGCATTGCCCCGGTTCTCACCTACGCTGACACCGTGCTATGGAATTACGAACTGATCGACGCGGCCCAGCCGGCATCGGCCATCAACATCGAGTACCTCAACACATTTTCGGGAACCGAGGATGAGGCCCACTTCTATTGCACGTCTGCGATGGTCGAGCTCCGTGGGGTGGAAATTCTGAACATCATCGACGAATTCGCTTCGCTCCCCGACTTGCACGACCTCTCTGCAATCTCCAAACTCTCACGTGATCTTACCCGGCTCGTGGGCGTTGTCACAGATATCAGTGACATCATTCAGAGCGTCCGAGACAACGTGGACCCTCATGTATTCTATCACACGATCAGGCGGTGGTTCAACGGCAGCGATGCAAACGGCACTTCGAGTCCCGGCTGGGTCTACGAGGGCGTTTCCGACTCGGACAAGCTGGATCTGAGTGGCCCGTCCGGCGCACAAAGCAGCATCATCCACGCCCTCGATCTTTTCCTCGATGTCGACCATAAGCTACATCTGCGACGCCTCCCTCCGCCTTCTGCCGACAATCGCCGTTCTGACACTGGTTTCATGGAGCGCATGCGCCGATACATGCCAGGCAAACACCGTGATTATCTGCATTGCCTTGCCAACAGCCCACGATCGATCCGCGAGCTTGCCGAGCGGACACCAGCCCTCCGAGAGCCATACGACAGTGCTGTCATGGCCCTGAAGAAACTGCGCGACCTGCACATGCGGATTGCCTGCCGCTATATCATCACCATGTCCCGCTCCAATCCGTCTGCGGCATGCCCTGTCGCGGCGATGATGGACAAAGTGCAAAAAAGTCGTGGAACCGGGGGCAACGAATTGGCTGCGCTCCTCAAAGCCAGCCGCGACGCGACCAGGCGCACTTTGCTGAAGCAAACGTAGATACGGCTCATATATATTAGATAATAGAGTGTATTAGCTTCTGTAGAAAAAGATTTACGAACGAATTTCTGGAGAAACTGGGTCAAGTTGGGACGGATTCTGTCATGATGGCCCATCATCGTTCACACTCCACAACGCGATCACATGTCTTGTGACGCATAGATTTCATCCTTATCTCTTTGCCTTCACCGCGCCGACTTCCCTTCGCACTTTGGAGTCTATTCGGATCCGGTGGAGCCCAAACGAAGGGGAACAAAAATTAGGTAGATCCTGATGCATCATCTACGAGGGCACGGAGCAGGAGGGCGACGGACGCGACGCGACACGGTGAAAGCCCGTAGGAGCAAGCGAGGTGTGACAAGGTGTGACCAAACTGTCAGGTCTCGGTAATCTTGAGCTCTCAAGCGCTGTTTTGTAGAATCTATATCATTTTTTGAGAGTCTCTGATTATGCCTTATGAGGCTAGCGCCAAAAAAGTCTGAAATCAGCTAGTTTTGTCCGCCATGATTTTGCCTGAAAATGACGGATTTTGTCCGGAACCGCGCTAGCCCCCCCTAAATTTGCTTTTTTTTCTTTTGCCAAATTTATTGCAATTTGCAAATATAATGGCTTCTGCCAAGAATAAAATTCGCGGGCGTGAGAGGTGCTTGAGGTTAGGGTCTGCCTACAGCCACTTGCTCTCGACCGGTCGCATGCTAACTTGATCTCACCATTCAAATGCCCAACCGACACATCTCAGATGACGCAAAAGCTATTACCATCCATCTTGTCAACCGTGGTCGAAACTCACGGAAGGAGATGTTGATCAAATGATCATCTTATCGTCTGCCAGATGGATGTTGTGATACACATCTTATGACTCCATCATGTGTCATCTAGAGTCATGTTGACTCATCCTAAATAGACACAAATAGCCCCCTGTATTGTATATAAGGAGGGCTCTATTACTCTATAATCCAAGTCTCTTGACTACTCCCGCATAGTGCCCACACTAAGCTCTCACTCACACAGGTGAGCTGCTAGACGCTCTCCCCAGTGCTCAACAGGTTATGGGCCCCAAGAGCTATGTCTGCGCCTGAATGGCCGCAACAGTCATTGTATGCACCGTCACTGGCTGCAACGATGAGCAGCGTCTTTAGCCTATCTGTATTCACTTCAGCTGCTGCATAGTGCTGGTGAAACCATGCCAGATTGCGATTACATTAGGGTCGTTCACAGTGCCCGATTTCGACCTGATTTCGCCTCGATTTCGAGCTGATTTCGACTTCGATTTCGTTTCGATTTCAGTTGCCAGGGACCTATGTCACAGTAGTGTAACACCGCTAATGGAAATGCCGATCACGGCCGAGTTGATGATTTGATCTACGCTTGTCTCTCGTACTTTTCGCTCCCTCACTCGCCGCCGCTGCCTCGCTTGTACTATGGGTACTACCCCGAAGGGAAAATCAAAGAAAGATGAATACAAGCAACGCTTAGACGCCGCTAAGGCTAAGGAAAACGAGAAGAAAGCCAAGAAAGCTCTCACAGCCAACAAGAAAGCCAAAGCCGCAGCGAAAAAAGCAGATGTGGAGAAGGAGAATGAGATAGAGGTTGGAGAAGTAGGACCGGTTGTCAAAAGGAAGCGGCGGTCGGCCACTGTCATGTGAATCGCGTCAGTCGCGTCTTTCATCAATGTACTTACACGTGCGACAGATGGTCTAAACGCGTGTACTTCTACGTGACGGATCTCTTGCTGACTATCATCGAGGAGAGTACGAGATACCGCCAAGCCTTCGGGTTTTCCACCGAGGGCAACATCAATAGCAAAGGACTTACTGTGAAGGATGTCTGCATCGAAATTGCGCAACACCTTTTCTTTGCCCATCTGTTGCTCATTGACAAGCAAAAGGCTGAGCACGAAGCAGCTGTCAAACGGGGAGTTTCCGAGGAAGATGCCCCTGTTGTGTCCTCGGAGACGGACGCATATGAGATCTCTGCATTGGGTGCTGCGGGGCGAATTGACGGCAACGAGCTTCTACCTCCATTTGCACTCTCCGACCTTGAGGATCTCGGAACAGCGGTGAAGAACCGGGTTGGGACGTAAGTTCTGTACTTGATTTCTAACGAAATACACTGACAACTAGTCATCATGTAGCCTCAAAACCTCGTTCACCAGGAATGTCAACAAACTCGGCTCGACAGGGTACGGTCTGATTGACGCTGGCAAGGAGGCTGAGATTACGGAAGGTTCGTCTTTAGCGAACGTCTGGGGTAAGGCTGGGTCCGATTTTCTTGTTCTCTGTACTGAAGGCACACCAGAGGAGACTATTACCGGCTTCCCCTGGTTTCTCCGCATGAACGAGCTCACTAGGACCAATCCGACCTTCAATCGGACCGCTGTGGCTAACAGTTCGACACCTGTCACGCTCGACGTTCTGAGTCGTGATAAGGCCAAGGAGGTATGTCGTCTCAATTCTACTCTACCACTTTATTGATGATTATCGAGGTGTCCGACGAGCTCAGCAACTCCGGAACCGAGGAACCACTAACAGATTGGTGCTCTAGTTCGCCTCTTGCCTCACCAGCCAACCCTTTGCCTCAATACCAGCGATTCGACGAGCTCACAAGCTCTAGCATTGAAGACGAAGATACTCTGCCAGAGAACATTCCAGCAACTCCAACTCCAGCAACAGCATCGGGGTCTCGCACCCAAGCCAAGGACAAATGCAAACCCGTCCAGAAAGAAACTTCAAGCTCATCGGCATCCTCCGGTTCTTCGACGCCACGTGGAACAAAGCGCAAGGGCGCTGCTGGCATGGTCGATTTCGTGCAAGACATCAGTAGCCGCTTCACAGAATCCCGACTGAAGATTGTGAAGATGCAGGAGAAGACGAGGAAGGAAGAGAATGAGCAGAGGTATGACTATCTGCTTGCTCGAATGGCTCATGAGCAGAAAGAGAACGAGGCTCGCCGTCAGCATGAGATGGAAATGATGGATCGCCAGATCCGCTTGGAGGAGCTCCGTCGCAGTGCTGTCGTGCCAAGCACATTTGATGCTTATGGACCTGGCGCACCTGCCGGAGGAGCGCCACCTCCAATTGATCCACGTCTCCTGAATATGATGTAGATCTCATGTATCCATTCTATTCTGTGTGTCTAGATATGCAAACAGTGCTTCCTTCAATTGCTCGCGTTTAAGCTTCCCCTCTAACAACTCAATATCATCATTACCATCTTTCTCATCCTCCTCTGTGCCACCACGTGCCTCCCGTGCAGCTTTCCATCGATTCTCTTCCTCAATCTGCTCTTGACGGTAACTTTGACCATCGCGAACAAATGTGTTTGCGGAGGTGACTTCTCCATCCTCATATTTCATTGCAAAGCAATGTAAATTGATACACGCCATGATCCACAATGTTGCGTATTGAAGCGCTTTCTTGTTGTTGACAGCGACTCGAAGTCCTCGGAGAGAGCACCATCGGCCCTTGAGATAGCCCATACAGTGTTCCGATCGAATGCGGACTTGAGATACATGCAGATTGTATTCATCATTGCCTGGCTCAAATTTTTCAGGGCTGTCGCTGGTCAGTGTCGCAAAATTAACCTCATTGAGTGAGACTGACGCTTTGTACGGTGTTTGGCACCATTTTTGCAGTGGATAGGCTGAGTCTCCCCAGACCCATTCATCCGGCTCCAGCAGTCGATCATGCTCGCGAGGAATTCGTGTTTCCCCCCATGCTGTTGCGTCATGCTGGCTGCCAGGAAGTCCAACACTGTAATCGACAATGTGAAGATTTGGTGTATTGACAATCTGTAAACTCTCAGTCTTTGATACAACACTTGAATGGGTATTTCCTGACCTGGACATTCAGTGAATAATTGGATTTCCGATCGAAGAAGACATTTCCGTGGAGAGCAGGACGTTGAAACAATGGTATAAGTGTTCCATCAACCATCAGCCAGCCGTTCCGCCACGCAGGACAGGATTGGTCTTCAACCCACTGTTTTGCCTTCTCTTTGGCATCTGAACTTGCCCACTGAACAGCAGCATCCCGAAAGCGTGTCGAACAGCAAGCTTTGAGAACACGGCTGGTGCAAAGCCGGACTGTCCCATATCCAACTCCAAACTGTAAGGCAACCTTCATCGTGCTTGCAGCATTGCCATAATGCCCGAATCGATACAACGCTATTGCAGCCTGCTGCTCCACAGGCATCTGTTCGTTCTGAGAGTCATTCGAGAACACGGGATCTGGTGATATCGCTGCCACTAATTCATCAAAGCAATCCGGATCAATGCGAAGATATGACCGAAAGATATCTGGCCTGGATATCTTGTAGGTTGTGAGAAGCATCTGCATAAATTCGTGAGTCTTCGGGATTTCCTGCCGTTCTGAGAAGTAGCGTTTCGAGTATAATTCCGCCATAGTGTGTAGATACAGTTCCGAAAGGTCTTCGATATCTTCATCAACACTGTCTCTGTCATCCGCATCCTGCTGCCGCAGAGAGTCCGAGTCAGCGTCAAGCCACTCGTCGATTGGTGCGGGGTCGGGAGCTGCTTCTGCCATGGCTGCGGCGCGGGCTTCATCCTCCACAATTGCAGCTTCAAGTCGTGCGATGACGTTAACCAGAAACGCCTGGTGAAGGGCCTCTGCGGCCTGTGTGCGATCCGACTTCGTTGGCATCGCCGATGGGGAAGGAAAAAGCAGGAAAGGCGAAAGATTTGTTATCAATTATTACAGCTATCTATCGAGACTATCTGGATCCATCATGATTTGATGGACTACTGATGTATTGACGAAATCGTTCATCGGCCTCGCTATGCCGTGTCACGCTGGCAACTGAAATCGAAACGAAATCGAAGTCGAAATCAGCTCGAAATCGAGGCGAAATCACCTCGAAATCGGGCACTGTGAACGACCCTATTGCTTGATCCAGATGCATCGATCTCTCAAGGAGATTATGATCTATGAGAATCTGTGACAATCAACCCAGAAACAAAATCGAAAAGAGAGTGAATTCCAAGACTGGAGAATACAACCAAGTAGCTACAGTATTCATACCCAAATCCAGTCTGAGTCATATCTACAACTACTGTACTATTTCGACCGTAGTTTCAACCCGATGACCAATGACAGCTTAGATTCGATGGTGCATAGCTTCGAGGTCCGGGATGACCAATGACAGCTGTCAGATAGCTTCGTTGTGATGTCAGGCACTGGCGGCGCCGGATCTGATAAGGCACGAGGGAATGCACCCAATTGAAGCTGTCTTTGGGCTAAAATGCGATTGATTGTCATATTAGAACCAATCTAGCCTAGATTTGACACGATCACACTGATTAAGCTCATTTTAGACTCATACTATCAATTTTTGCGCTCAAAGTCACTCAATATGACGATTTTCTTTTTCGAAATGTCATTAGCTTCGAGGCTGCAGATGACCGATGACAACCTGACATTAGGTTTGGTTCGACACCCCCGATGACCAATGACATGAATCTACGTTCGAAATAGTACAGTAATGAGTCATAAGGCTATGTACTGCATGGAGCACTGGTCATGGGTTGTAGTAGAACCTTCTGGAGCATATGTCGCGCAGCCTCGAATCGATGAAGATAATCCCTGGAACCCCTAGTCCGGACCGTCAGATGCCGTGATCCGTGATAAGATAATCCGTGCCAAGATAAGATAAGATCGTTGAAGATAAGATGAAAAAGTGGCCGAACTATGACATTACCCCCTCTCTAGGGTCGATGTCCTCATCGACTAGGCCAATGGGCGTGAAGATGTTCTCGTAAGGGTCGAACAGTTGTCGTTGGGGATATGGAAGTCGCTCGTTTTTGGGTTTATAGCGGTGGATGAGATAATCCCAATGTCCGGCTTCGAGTGTTGGCAGCAGGCGAATGCGTGTGTCTGGGTTGGATTGTTTCCTCTGCCAATCTCTCAGGACCTTCTTTGCATGGGTAAGGTGACATGATGGTTCCCAAGTCTTTTCGCTATGCGGCCATCCCTTCCATTTGACCAAGTACTGTTTTCCTTGGCCGACTTTTCGTTCCTTCACGATTTCTTCGACTTCCCACTCTTCTGCTCCTCCAATCATCTTGGCTACGGGTCTTTTCTCTCGGCGATGCGGGGGTGGTTTGTGATAGGGTGTCAACAGTGACTCGTTGAACACCGGGTGTCTTTGGTCTGTATCCGGCAAATCCAGCTTCCATGCGGCTGCTCCAACCTTCTCCAGTATCTCGTATGGCCCCAATCTCTTGTTGCTCATCTTCTTCGAGGGTCTGTCCGTCTCGATATTGTCCCCCTCTATGTACACCTTCATTCCCACCTTCAACTCCGGAACTTCTTTTCTTTGCTTATCATAGTATTTTTTCATTTTTTCTTTTGCTTTTTCCAATGCTGCTTTTGCTTCATCTTGTATTTCTTTGATTCTTTTTACAAACTCCTCCGCCGACTCGTTCCTCGATTCCATCCGTTGTTCCACTCCCTTCCATGGGTGATATCCGTGATTGGCGTAGAACGGTGATATTTTGGTAGACGTATTCATCTTGTCGTTGTATGCGAACTCTGCCATTCCCAGCCACTCCGACCAGTCCGTCTGATGGTAATTGACGTAGATGCGCAGGTAATGCTCGACCTCCTGATTCATGCGTTCTGTCTGTCCATCCGTGATTGGGTGATACGCGGTCCCCGGATTCATTTCTATGCCCAACATCCGATTCGTTTCCTTCATGAAGCCCTTGGTGTATCGTGAGTCCCTATCGGTGATGATCTTGCAAGGGATCCCCTGATAGCGGAAGACTCGGTCCCTGGTTAGCCGTGTGACTCCTTCACTGCTGATGTCAGTACTAATTGGTTCGACATGGATCATTTTGGTGAAGGTGTCACACCACACATGGATTGCATCATACCCGTTACTGACCGGCAAGGGTCCAATTTGATCCACCGAGATGATTTCCCACGGTGCGTTTGGAACTGCATGCGGGTGTAGAGTCCCTGTCCTTGCTCTTCTGGTCTTGGTCTGTTGGCACGCCTCGCACGTCTGGATGTATTTCCGAATTTGGTTTCCCATCCTGTTCCTTTCCACCATCTCCTGCGTTCGGTTGATCCCAGCGTGTCCGACCAAAGGGGTGTCGTGGTGTAATCCGATGATCTTGTCCCGTAACTCCTCGTCTCTTGGTACATAGAGCTTCCCATGATACGTGATAAGCCCCTCTTCCTTCTTCCATCCGACGAGTGACTTCTCCAAGGCCGCCTTGACGCTTCCATCAATTGATCGAATGGCCTTGATTTCATCGATTAGCTGCTGATCCTGTCCCTTGAATGTGACTTCTTGTGATCGGAAGAACTCAGGCTTCAGTAGCGTGACGTCCTTGTTGTTGTTCTTGCCCTGATCGTGATCCGCTCGTCGAGACAGGAGATCCGCCTTGCGGTTGAGTGCACCGGGTCGGTGTCGTAAGGTGAAATCAAACTCTGCCAGCTCCGTGATCCATTGTGCTTGTTGTTGATTGAGCTTCTGTGGCTTTCGGAACTACTCGAGATTCTGATGATCAGTGAAGATCTCGAATGTTTCCGTGGCTCCCAGGAGCAGCTGCCTCCATTCATCGAGTGATAACATGATCGCGAGCATTTCCTTGTCGTAGATCTCGTAATTTCGCTCGGTTTCGGTCAATGCGTGTGAAATAAATGCGATTGGGCGCCAAATGCCGTCTTGGTTTTGGCTCAAAACTGCTCCTGTTGCCCCTTCCGAAGCATCGGCTTCCAGACGATATTGGCCAGTGTCATTTGGCAGTGCTAGGACCGCATCCTCCGCGATTCTCTTCTTCAATCCATTGAATGCCGCATGTTCCTCTGTACCCCATGACCATCCTGCCTTCCCCGTCAGCCGTGTCAATGGTTTGGCAATCTCCGCATATCCCCAAACACAGCGTCGATAGAAGTTGGTGAACCCTAGGAAGGCTTGTACTTGTTTGACGCTCTTTGGTTCTGGCCATTCCATCACGCCCTTGATCTTGACTGGGTCCATCCGCATCGAATTGTGTCCAATAATCACACCCAAATATTCGATTTCCGTGCGTTCGAACTCGCACTTTTCGGGTTTCAGGTACAGCTTGTGTTTTTGGAG